CAAACTTCTTGCAGGGAGTTGTAGAGAGTGAGAAGGTTCCCCCTCTGAGCCTTCTTTTTTCCATGGTAAACACCCCCAGCTCCCTCAGCTGCTCCTCATCAGATTTGTGCTCCAGACCCTCCCCCAGCTCCATTGCCTTTCTCTGGACACGCTCCAGCACCTCAATATCCTTTCTGTAGTGAGGGGCCCAAAACCAAATATGAGATTCAAGGTCTGTTTTCTCCAGTGCCGAGTACATGGGGACAATCACTGCCCTGGTCCTGCTGGCCAAACTATCACTGATCCAGGCCAGGATGCCATTGGCCTTCTTGGCCACCTGGGCACACACTGACTCAGATTCAGCTGCTGTCAACCAGCATCCCTAGAAATGTTTGTAGATCCAGATGAGGACAGTTTAATAAATGAAGGAATGCAAAACCAACCAACCAAACAAACAAACCAACCTAAGCCAAACAACCCAACCCAAAAAAACCCCAAGCAATGCAAAGGCAATCACTCATCACTTCCCACCAGCAGACCTATACCCAGACAGTCTCCCAGCAACAGTCACCTTAGAAGACTAAAGCCCTGCCATTCTTCTTCCTCTGCCCCAGCTTTTCACACTGAGGTCAATGTTTTATGGCATGGAATATCCCTTTAGCCAATTTGGGGCAACTGTCCTGGCTCTGCCCCCTCCTCACCTCTTGCCCACCACCCATCTACTTGTTGGGGAAGACAAGTGGAAAAAAAAAAAAGCAAGCCTTGATGCTGTGCAAGTGTTATTCAGCAATAGTCAACATACTGGTGTGTTATCATCACTGTTTTAGCTACAAATCCCAAACATGGCAGCAAATGGGCAGCAATGAAGAAAGTTAACTCCATCCTAGTCAGATCCAGTACAATCTCCACCCCTTACTCCACACCATTAGCACCATACTCAGCTCCTACATTCTCCAATCATCACCATCAACCCTGGCCACCCTTCTGGTCCTTTGACATACGCACAGACATCTTTCCCTTAGTCTGTGGTACATCTCCCAAATGTCTTTACAAGTCCAGTCAATTAACCTGGTCCTTGTAGAAAGCTGTATACTTGTAGAAAGCTGCTGTGTGGAGCACATCAGATGGTTTCGCACAACACAACGGGGTCCACTGGCAAGTAGAGCATGTTGCCTTTCATATTTATTATACTTTTGAGCTTGAGCCACCTCCTCAGATGATGGTCTGAAATCTCTGCCTCCTGGCCCAGCAGTGATCTCTTCCAGCATTCAAGGGCAGTAGGGTTTCCTCATTTGAGCCCACTGTGTGATCAATCCCACCCTCTCACTCCACGTAGCTTCAGTTGCATGATGTGTAGAGGAGACCCTTCCTGTGAACATCTAGTGCAGCACAAGCACCTCAAACCCTTGATACCTTCAGCTCCAGAACCTCAGAGGTCAACCTTGGGTCTTTCCAGGTATTTTCTGCCAGAGGCTCCAGGTGAACAGAGTATGTTTCTTACAGCTGGTACTTTTTGGACAGGCCCAAGGGCTACCACACAAATCATCTTGCTGCTGTTCAGGAACTGTGGTGGGCTGACCTTGTCCAGACACCAAGTGCCCAGCAAAGCCGCTCTGTCACTCCCCTCCTCAGGGGAGAGAAAATATAATAAAAGTCTCCTCGGTCAAGATAAGGACAGGGAGAGATCACTCACCAATTACAATCAGAGGCAAAACACTGATGAGCTTGGCGTTTGCTGGTGGCAGGTCTATCTTAGAGCTGGTAGGGATTGGCTCTGTTGGACATGGGGGAAGTTTCTGTCGATCTCTCACAGAAGCCACCCCCCTGGCCCCTCACTACCAAAATTCTGCCACAGAAACTCAATATGTTTGGAAAAGTTCTTTAAGGTTAGTCAATGGAGAGGACTCACAAGGTGACTGTGACCCAGAATATGCAGTTTCCAGAAATGCACTAAGCCTAGGAAAACTTTTTTATTAGCTGGTGGAAACTTGACAGTTATCTTACTGATCACATCCACGGGGATATGATGATTCTGATCTTGCCATTACAAGCTTGGAAACACCTATCCTGGAGGAAAATAGAAAGAATGTCTCCATGAGATGGTTCCCTGAGCACTGGGATGGCAGCAATGCAGGGGCTGAACACCAGACTTGGCTCATGGTCGTTGCCTTTATCACAGGTCTCCCAGGCAGAGCAGAACACAGTGATAAGCAGCACAGCAAACAGCAAGAGCTGACAGCAGCCATGCAGAAGCTTTGAAGCTTAATGTGTAGCAAGAGAGGGAACAAATAATTCAGCATTGGGACCAGCAACAGCAAGTAGCAGCTTAACAGCTGTGAAAAACAGACCAGTCACTACAACTCTGGGTGCCACAAGGACAGCAAGTGGGCTGGTTTAACCAGCAGCCAAGGGCCCACACAGCCTCTTATTTACCCCTGCTCTCAGAGGGATGAGAGGAGGCTGGACTGAATAAAAATGAGAAAATCTGTGGGTCAGATAAAGCCAGTTTCATGGGCAAAAAAGTGAGGAAAAGACAGGTTGCCATGAGCACGCTGTGGCTGATCAGGGCTCTCCTATGGCCACCAACCCCTGGCTATGGCACCCCTGCAGTCATCTTGGTAGCCACCTTCACCCCTTTTTCTCCTTCTCACAGAATCATAGAATGCCTTAGGTTGGAAGGGACCACAGTGGATCATCTGATCCAATCTCCCTGCTTAAGCAGGGCCATCTGAGAGCACACGGCACAGGATTGTGTCCAGACAGTTCTTGAATACCCTCAGTGCGGGAGCCTCCACAAACTCCTTAGGCAACCTGTTTCAGTGCTCAGTCACTGCACAGCAAAGAAGTTCTTACTCATATGCAGGTGGAACTTCCCATGCATCAGTTTCTGCCTGTTGTCCTATTGCTCAGCACCACTGGGAAGAACCTGATTCCATCATCTTGCCACCCTCCCTTCAGATACTCATAGCCATTGATGAGGTGCCCTCTCAGGTCGTCTCTTCTCAAACAGCCCCAGCTCCCTCAGCCTTTCCTCGTAGGAGAGATGCTCCAGTCCCTTTACCACCTTTCTTGCCCTCTGCTCTCCCCTACTGCTGTGACAGAGGCTGACGGGGCGTGATGGCACTGGGGAAAGCTGCGGCACTGAGAGAGTCCCCACCGCAGGGTGTCCCCAGCCTGGCGTGCCCAGTGCAGTGTCCCCAACAGTGTGTCCCCATGGCAGCCCTGTGTCCCTGGGCAAGTGTCCCCAATGGTGTGCCCCCAGGGCAGCCCCACGTCCTGGAACAGTGTCCCCATACCACTGTATTCCCATAGTAGCCCAGTGTTCCTGGCACTGTGTCCCTAAGGCAGTACGCCCAGCCCAGTGTCCCCAACCCCCTGTACCCGTAGGGCAGCTCAGTGTCCCTGTCACGGTGTCCCCATCCCTGGCAGTGCCCACAGCCCGGTGTCCCTGGCAGTGTCCCTGTCCCCGTGTCCCATCCCGGTGCCCCTGGCAGTATCCGTGTCCCATCCCGGTGCCCCTAGCAGTATCCATACCCCAGTGTCCCATCCCGATGCCCCTGGCAGCGTCCCTGTCCCAGTGTCCCCATCCCGGTGCTCTGGCACTGTCCCTGTCCCAGTGTCCCTGTCCCAGTGTTACTGGCGGTGTCCGTGTTCCAGTGTCCCCATCCCGGTGCCCCTAGCAGTATCCCTATCCCAGAAGCCCGTCCCGATGCCCCTGGCAGTGTCCCTGTCCCCTTGTCCCATCCCGGTGCCCCTAGCAGTATCCATACCCCAGTGTCCCATCCCGATGCCCCTGGCAGTGCCCCTGTCCCAGTGTCCCATCCTGGTGCTCTGGCACTGTCCCTGTTCCGGTGTTCCTGTTCCCTGCCGGTGTCCCAGCCCATCCCGGTGTCCCAGCCCATCCCGGTCTCCCTCAGCGCCGCCGCCGCCGCTCTTTGTCTCGCTGGCCCCGCCCCCGGGGAGTCACGTGCCGGGGGCGGGGCGCGTCGCGCGGCGGTGACGCGCGCGGGGCGCGGGCAGGATGGGGCGCTGAGGGGCGGCCGGGCAGGGCCGGACACCCCGCGGGAGCCGCCGGGCGAGCGGAGCGGGCGGTAAGGGCGGAGCGCGGCGGGAGAGGCCCGGGGAGCGCGGGCCGTGCGGCTCCGGCTCGCCCCGCACCGCGCCCGGGCCTTGGCGGGGCGGCGCCCGCGGCTCTGCCCGCGCCGGGCCCCGCCCGCGGCCGGGGGGTCCGGCGGGGCCTCCCCCGGGAGCGCCGAGCGCGGAGCCCCCGCGGGGCCGGGGCTGGGGCGCGGGGCCCTCGCCGTGTCCGCGCTCCTGGCGCTGGCGGTGCAGCCCCGCCGCGGAACGGGTGTCCCGGTGCCGCTCCCTCCGCGGCTCCGGCCCCACATCCCCGCGCCCCTGCCCGGCTCCGGGCTGGGGGGGCACAGGGGGCACGGCGGAAAGTCACCGCAGTAGCTGCGGTGGTTGCTCGGAGCGGTGATTTTTATTTATTTTTTGTTAACAGTTACTGACATCCGCAATAAAATTAAAAGCCAGTTGTGACTGAAACTTGCTCAGTGCTGTGAGTGCGACTCCAGAGCGCACAGAAAGGCTGCAGATGGCTTTTTTTTTTTTTTTTTTTGTTCTAATTTTGATTTTACTTGTCCTTTAGGCCATGTTTATCTCTTCTTGGTAAGGTGAGTTTTTCTTGGTTTTTACATTTTTTGCCCTTGAGGAGAACACGCGTGTTGACTATAAGTAAATTAAAATTTTACTCCAAAAGGACATGAAGGAATTACAGTGTAGTACAGTTCCAGAGATGACCATCAGATTTTTTTGTTCCTATTATTTTTGACTTAAGGTTGATGACAGGGTTGGTTTGGTTTTTTTTTTAAGGGAAAGAAATCAGAATAAAAATATATATGAACGTTTTTTCAGTGCCTTCTTTGGGCCTTGACTATATTTCTGCAAGCTTAGCAGTTAAATGAAAAGTCAGGATTGAAATTTCACATCTTTTTCCACTCTCTAGAACATATTGCTGTCAGTGACGTGTTTTAGGCAACATTATGTGTTTTAATGCAACTTTTTTCTTCCTCCAAAGGTGGTGAAAAAGAAAATATCAAGATGAGTAAAAAGCCTCCAAATCGTCCTGGAATCACATTTGAGATTGGTGCTCGTTTGGAAGCACTGGACTATTTGCAGAAATGGTATGGAAGACATTGTGCATTTGCTGAGAACATAATTATTTTGTGTACATTATGTGCTTTGATATCTGATGATGTGACTTAGTGCACCTATTAACTGACTGTTTCACATGTGAACTTCATGAGTTTCCACCCCAGTCAACACTGTTCGCTTTTAGGAAAGTACTCTCTCTTCGGAAATCAGACTGAACTTTTCTGTGGGTTTTTGTTTGTTTGCTTTTGGTTGCTTGTGTAGCTGTAGTGAGCAAGAAGCATTTCTGGGGTAGTGTGGAATGCAGTGTCATGGCTGAGGTGGTCGATGTGTCAGTGTTAGTTTAGTTAGTTACTTTATCATACTTCATAGGTTCACAAAACTGATTCAAAAAAAAAAAAAAAAAGAAGACATCCTTAATTGCTGTGCATGAGATAGGCAAGTACAGTTGTGTTTGTATCAAACAACTGGAAGAATGAAGGGCTCTGCAACCACCCAGGCATGTTGTGAGTTCAGAGGCTCTAAAATCAAAATTGTGGGCACAAGGACCATGCTGCACAGCATGTGTGTTGTGAAAGGGGCTGTTCTAATGAAATAAAGGATCAGTCAAAATTTTATTAAAGCAAGTGGACTAATTTGATGATGTGTGCTGGCCATGCTAGTTCCGTTTGAAAAATCCCTGGTTTTGTTAAAGCAGATGACAGAAGGAATTGATGCTGCCACCCAGAAATTTTTTCTCCTCTGCTCCCTGATTTATTAGGGCTAGGAAGTGTAGAGGTGTGTACCTGCTTTTCTGCTGCATTCCTGGAGAGCTCAGCATGCTCCTGTAAATATCTGATCCTTTAACTCCAGGTGATGTGAGAGACAAGTCTGTGTATTATTGATATGTTTGTTCCAGAAGTTACATGCTCTGCATAAAAAGTTGAGTCAAACCTTTTATCTGTAGAGCTTTGATTTTAATTATAGCAAAATTGTTTGTTTTAATCAATGGTCTCTGAAAGAATTGATTTACAGAACTGTTCTTGTTCTTACCTGTTGCTGTAGAGTGGATTTTCAACATACTGATTCTATAACTGAATGCCAGGATAATGAAACCATCCAAATAGTGCCAAAAATAATTTTAATACAACTTTTTATAACATCTTCTGTGACAAGAGATAATAGGTTAATATAACTAGGTAACAAAAATTAATGTGTAAAAATAATTTCAGCTTAATTGTATCAAAAAGAATATCACTGAATCTGCAGTGTATAGTTTGTTTCAGATATGCCCAGCATTTCCACAGGGGAGGGTTGCGTGTCAGCTCTGGAGGTCTTGTCTAGGTTTGGGTTGTCAGGCATGGGCCATGTCACAAGCTCTGCAGCTGAGTTGCTGGGTGTTTTCAGGAAGAATAGAATTTATCTTAAACTTTCTAGGAATTGATTTGTCATCTGTACCGCCAGGTAGAACAGGTCAAGTTTTATATACATGTTAACTTTTGTGGTGCCATGTACGGGAGGAGAAATGTAATAATGGAAATTTTGCACTTGCAGCAAGACTGAAAGCAGAGCTCTGTTTCAAATGAACTAATATTCACATGCAGAACCAAACAGCTTGTGACAGAAAGTCTCCTGTCGTGTTATTATTAGGGTGACACGGGTTGCAATAATACTCCATGTGATTTTTTTTTTCTTAGCTTTCTGTTGCATAAGGGGGTGGTGGATGTTTTTTAAATTCTTTCTATATATAATCTGTATGCATTCCCTTGATTTGCATGCATAAATACAGACTTCAAAGAAAATAAAGTTGCTGAACTTACATGAAATCTCTTTATATTTTTTAACAAAAGCTAAATTGAAGAGCAGTGATATTGCTTAGCTCAGTCCTTCTGCAAGTGACAAATTGAGAACACTTGCTGAAAAATAGCCTTTGAAAGGGTTTTATTTTTTTCCTCCATTTTTCTGAAAGCTTGCTGTCATTTAAAGATCCACTGTTCATGACCAGTTAAAATGTTAATCAAGAAAGGCTTCTAGGGGATGTGAGGAAAAAATATGTATTTGTATGTTTTTGCTTTCTGAGGCACTTTTGCAGGTCTGAAATTTTCAGCTCTGTAGTAGTTGCTGAAATTCATCTCATGGAATCTGATGTTCTGTTTATGATCTGTAAACTTTGGAGAGGCCATTGTGTACTGTGACTATTTATTGCTTAAAAGCCCCGTAGTTTTAAATGAAGTTTTTGCAGAGAGTGTCTGGGTCACTGGTATCATTTGTCATGTACCATGACAGAGCAGAAGAAAGCCTGGTCAAACTGGTCAGCAAAGACAGGCTGTCAGTGAGTGTGTTTATTTTTGCTTTATTGTGTAGGTAGCTGCAATTGAAGCTTTATCAAGTGCAGCAGTTGTGTTGTTGCAGGGCATTGTCTTACATAATGAATTTGTACCACTTGTTACATTTAAATTCACTAAAGCAAACTATGAAATGCAGCTCTAATCAAAATCAGTGATGTTATCTGTCATCAGATAGTAAATGGGATGGGATTGGGAATTATGAAATAGAAAATTACCAAGTACATTAGATGATCAGGGGCTTGGAGTGTACGACCTGTGAAGAGAGAGTGAGGAAACTGGACTTGTTTATCTTGGAGAAGGCTTCAGGAGTTCCATGTCAGCCTTCTAATACCTACAAGGCTGTAATCAAGATTTGCTTGGCCAAGCTGTACAGATAGATAGAGGACAAGAGACAACAGACATAAATTGAATTGAGAGGTTTAGACTGGGTTCAAGGAGAATCTCTTCTCCCATGGGACAGTCAAGCAGCAGATCAGGTTGCCCGAAGAGTTTCTGGATTTTCCAGCACTGGAGGTTTTCCAAGCCTGGGATGGATAAAACCCAGGAAAACCTGACCTGATCCCATAACTGACCCTGCTTGGAGAGGGAGGTTGGTCTAGAGGCTTTCTGAGTCCCTTTCGACTTGAATTATCTGTGATCTCCTGCAAAAACTGATAAATGTGCACACCCCCTCCTCCTCTCACTGAGGAAACAAATGGAACAGCAGGAAGGCTGCACATACCTGCAAGTGCATGTCCCTGTGTAAGACAGTTCTTAAGCCGTCAGCTCCCACAAATAGGACGCTGGCCCTGCAAAACTGATGTATTTAAAGGTGCATCTCATGCTTTTTTCTGTCTTTGTGTGTCTTTTGGGGCTCCAACTATCTACTGGTTGTCCCACAAGCTGCGGATACTGCTTTGAAGAAAACAATCCTGTTGTATTTCTGAGACCATAGTTCTTTATTAATTTGTTTCATCTAAACTCTGAGGTAATGAGGGAAGTACAGGTACATGGCGCTTGTTGTTCTGAAATGGAAACAGAGCACTAAAATATTTGATTATCTGGATGGATTTTTTTTTTTCCCCTAGTATAGAAGAAATCTTTTCTTTGTAAGTCTTTGGGAAATCTTGCTTGGCACAACCCTTGCTTTAGATTTCAGTTGACTGGGTAACCTGGCAGGTATTTGAAAGGATGGTGAAGACTGTGCTTTATATTGATTGAATACAATATATATGTTAAAGCTACGACCCTAGAAATATGTGTTTACAGATTTTGCAGATACCAGAACACTATTTGTGAGAAGTCAGAACGGAGGGTATTTAGTTTTTTATCCTTCTGAGGTAGAAGGAAACAGTTTTTATATCAGTATTGGGAAAGCAAGAACTGTATCTGTAGACTTTGTAGGTGCAAGCTTGGGCAAATTTACTAATGTTCTTGCATCCTGTAAAGTTTGAAATGCGTATTGTCCCATTTCACAGGGCAATTCATCACCTTTTGATCACTTTTGCTGGGTTAAAGGGAAGACGATGATGTAAAAATGAAAAAAGCTCTCTGTGTAGCTGTTACTGGGTGTTGAGTGCACTGGATAAAATACTTTGGGTTTTGTTTGTGGTTTGTTTTTTTTTTTTTAACCCTGTCAACAAATGAAAATGGGAAGTTTTCAATGATTTTTTCTTGTTTGAACGTCAGAACACTGTCATTGTCTGACCAGTGCTTCATAATGTAAGTTTTGTAAGCTATACTAAATTCTGAAGCTTTCCAAAGAATTGCATAACTCTAATAGGTTGGAATTGCCAAGATTGGAACCTGCCAGTGAAGAGCATGCAATGTGTAAACTGGGTAGATACCATCAAATAACAACAATTCTCCTGTTCTCTCTTTAAAAAACAAGAACAAACACCCCTTAAATTTGGATGAAACTTCGTTTTGATTAGTAGATACTCTTTCCAGCATCTTGTTAAAAAAACACACCCCAAATTTTCAGGTTATTGTTTCTTCCTACAGAAAGAACACTTTGATTGTTGAATTTCAGTGGGCTGGTCTGGTTGGTTTTCTTGGTTTGTGCCAATGTTGGCAAATCTGTTTGTATGTTAGTTTTATTCTGATCACTTAGTGTGCAGTACTTGCTGGGGGATTTAACCTGACTGGAAGGTTGTTTTTGCCTTGGACATCCTTATGGTTTGGTACTGTAAAGAATGATATTTGTATCCCACTTTGTAGCACTTCTTCAGATGTAACTTTGTAACTTTGTGATGTGTACGAGATGTAAACGTCTTCATATTAATCTTTTTAATTTATGAAATTGATTATTTTCAGTAAAAGTACAAAAGCACCAGAAAGATGTTTCTGTGCAGTGTAAAATTTGCAGTAGGAAATTCTACAATATGTGTGTTCTACACTTTTCCACTGTGGGATCAGTATTGTGAAATATTACTGTTTGTACATATTTGTGGCACATTGTGTGGCTAATTTTAGTAGATATTGAGGGTAATAACTTGTTACTAAATCCATACAAAGTTGTGTTTGGGTTACCTAATAACCAGTCACACACGGCTTGGGTGGTTCCATCTCTGGGGACTGAAGCTGAGTTCAGGTTTTGTCTATTCATCTTGCAACCACTCGCTTAAGATACATTGGAGAAACATAAATTATAAAAGATTTTGATTGCAGAAATGGCTTTTAGGAAAGGGAAATTAACTGATAAGTACTTTGTGGCTGCATTTCCTCTCTAGAGTGATCTCTAATGAGACTTTTATATTTTTCATTTCTCCTTTTATTAACTCCTGCCAACTTTGCTCTTTTTATTTTTTTGTATATATTAATTTCTTTATTCCTGGCTTGCTGAATTTTTGTTTAAAACTATCTTAATTTTAAAATATTTGCCTCCAAACTCTACTGTGTATTTTACTTCCCCCTCTTACTCGGTTTTCTCTTTTCAGGACATTGTACTGCAATTTCTTGGTTTGTCCCTTCTGTTGTCTTCTCACACGGTGCTTGGAATGGTGACTTGGCTGCTGCTGACCAGGGAAAGCTCCCAGCCATAACAAGGGAACTGCTGTAGGGAAGCACCATAACAGGAACAAAGTGTTTGCATTGGAGATGTGTAGGAAAAGGAGAATGCTGTCTATCAGCTGATACAATGACCATAACTTTCATACAATAACCATAGTTTGGCATCACTAGGTGTCTGGCATCTGATAAACCTAAAATTTCTAAGGGTGCTGAGAAAGTATCATTCTTGGCTTCCATTTCGCTGCTGCAGCACAAGCTCTCCTTTTTGTTGGCTACAAAGTTGACTTCCTGTCCTCTTGCTTTTCTGCTTCCTTCCCTGTGATAAATGCTGTCTGTGTCATCCTTTTGGTAGCATTGTTACTCACAGGTTTGCTCTAGGAACAGTAGCTTTACTTTTTGCTCTGCTTTGCTCCTCTTCCTGCTTATTCCGAGACTTGGTGTGTAGTTGTAAAACGTCTGAAACTGGAACACTTGGGAAGATGAGAAAAAATAGTAAAGAATTTTATAATAAAATTCCTAAATGTAGCAGCATATGGTTGGTCAAAGTTAAACCAGAATGCTGCTGCTGGGATTCAGGTTTGACCTATGAGTTTTACTTCCAGCTTTGATGCAGTAGATCATCAACTTCACCATTCTTGTTAGTGTTGTTATCAGTCTACTTGAGAGGGGAAAGGGGGGATTGATATTGTTGTTTCTCTGGAAGAAGACCTATGAAGTGTCTTGGAAAAGATTTAGTTAGTTGTGTGACAAATGAGAGTCTACAGTTTTAGACTAAGACTTTTTTGGGGGAGAAGTTGGAACTTAAGGAATGGCTATGAAAATATTTTGCGTTTCTGAAATATATGGATGAGAGAAACGCAACAAGAACTTGTGCTGTCTGTGAATTCTGATGTGAGGGTGAAATGTGGTTGAAGTAGTAACCTAGAAAATCAGTTTTTCATAATCAGCAGCTCCTGAAATATTTAACTGCTGGGAAGCTGTGTACATCCCTGCAGTTAAGAAGTAGGACTGGAGAAAGGAAGGAGCAAATTGAGATTGACACCTTTTGTTCTAATCACTGGGAAATAAGGAAAGCCTGTGCTTCTTGAAAACTTACATTTTAATCAGAACACAGTATTAGAGACTCCTTTAACAGCACAGTCAGTATTTTGGAGAGAAGGCATTCAAAATTGATGTTGACAGGGTTCCTGTACAGTTGCTTTTCTAGCTGATGGAATTTGCAGCAGGGCTGGGAATTGGTCACTCAAGCTCTGCTCTCTTACTATTGCTCCACAGTAGCACTTGGTTAGAAAAACACGTTGCGAAAGTTAAAGGCTGCTGTCCTTGGCTGAGGTCTTCCTTTTCAATACATGCTTTGCTAACTTTAGCTCATCCCTAGTATAAACTCTCATAAAAAAATTATTTATCTAATTAACTTTTTTTTTTCTTGAGATTCTTTGCACTTTTGAATCGGTTTCAATACTTTTGTGAAGGGCAGAAGGAGCTGAATTCTGCCTTGTTCCCATTTTCACTGATGTATATCAACTCTTGAACTAAATCTTACCGATTTAGTAACTTAATTTTTTTCAAACTTGGAGAGTTCTCTGTACAAGGTGCATATTACAACTTTGTAAATGGTCGTGGAAGCACTGTTGCATCTAAACCAAGTAAGAAACCTTTGAGCCTTACCAGTTCCTGTTTATCATTCGAGGTATCCATCTCGTATTGAGAAGATAGATTATGAAGAGGGGAAGATGTTGGTCCATTTTGAGCGCTGGAGTCATCGCTACGATGAGTGGATTTACTGGGACAGCAACAGGTTGCGACCCCTGGAGCGACCAGCATTAAGGAAAGAGGGCCTGAAAGATGATGAAGAATTTGTTGTAAGTGGCACATTTATTTTATCTTAGACTTTTGCTAACTGTCCTACTTGTTTTCCTACATTAAATCTCTCTAGCACATAATGTTTAATTCATTTTAGGGGAAAAAAAAAGATTTAAATTATTTAAATAATAATGAATAAATTTGTATAAAATAGGATTTTAAACCTGGAGAAGAAGTCCTAGCTCGTTGGACAGACTGTCGATATTACCCTGCAAAGATTGAAGCCATTAATAAAGAAGGTATGTGTGCATGTATGGTCTGTAGGTAAGGTCTGTTTGCATATGTCTGCTTAAAAAAGGAATATGCCTATAAAGTTTTCCTCACCGCCTCAATATTAAGTGAAAATGTTTCTATCAAATTTAACATTGTTTGTATTTTATCTGTATTAAATTGAAAAATTGGAATTTCTCCGAGAAGACAAAATGCTTAGGGTTTTTAATCAGTGATCAGAAGATCCAGTGCACAGTCTTGAGAATATTTCGTACTGTTGTTGATTAGGGTTAATGATATGTTTAAATTTTCGTGATTGTTTTAATTCTGTTTATTGAAGAAAACAACAGAAATGGGGGAATAAAGGAACACTTTAGATGAAATACTTCACAGTGGTTATATTTCTAATGAGCATAAGTGGAAGTTTTTACTGTAGTTAAAGCAAATGAGGATTTGGTTGTAAGTTGAATTGCTTCCCTAGTGTGGCATCTTAAGTATGACATAATTCTTTCAGTGAATTATGAGCAAAAGTGACTCAATAGCTTAAACATGCTTGACATTGTTCAACTGGACAAAGAACAACAATATAAAATCAGGGCTTTATTGAGGCTGTAATTCTTTTTTTTCCTTAAAATTCTGGATCCCAGCTGTCCATAACACTTTTTTACTCTGTTCATACAACGTACAAAACATTTTGCTAAAACTTTCGTAGTAACAAGATGTGTTTGCTTCTTAATTACTAATAGTGATTGCATCAATCATTTTCTAGGAACATTCACAGTACAGTTCTATGACGGTGTCATTCGATGTCTTAAAAGGATGCATATCAAATCTATGCCAGAGGATGCAAAAGGGCAGGTAAGGATACTTCAGGTAATGCTGTGTTAGGTTTTTATGTAGTTGTTTGTTTTTTTTGTTGGTTTGTTTTCTTGGGTTTTTTTTAGTATCTTGAGATAGTAAAAGTATCATGTAGTACAACTGGTTTTTAGGTTACAGTCTTTATTCCAGGTCCTGCACTGCCTTGCTTCACCAGTTTATGGATGATGCCTCAGAGTGTGCTGCTCCAGTGGCCTTGCCTCTCTCTGAAATGCCTGGCTGCTGGACACTCCATTGCCAACTAATCTGTTCCCAGAGTCTTGTCTTGCAGAGTTGACAAAACCAGGGGCATCCAGTGACTTTTCCCTCTGGTGTCCCTCAGGAGAAAGCTTTAGCTTGTCAGCAGTCTGTGCTGCTCATTTTTTTGTTTAATTTTATTTATTCCCCACCCTCTACCCATCTCTTTGGTTACTGCTGTGATATCTTTTTGCCCACGTGTTCTTATTAATGTGACTGGAGGTTTTCTCCCTTGTATCAGAACTTTTGGGCATTTGGACAGATAAGTGTTTCTTGTCTTTTATAATGTCCAGTTGCTGTTAAAGACAAGATGCTGAGTAGAAGTTGAGGGAAACTGTGCAGTAGAGGACCTGATTTAGTCACTAGGCACATGTTTACAATAAATTGTTTCCCGAAGGAGACTAAACTGAAATCTGTAGGCACACTAACCCTGGTTTCTTGCTGCAGTCTTACAGTAACTCTGTTGAACCAGTGTGTAATATTTCAAAGATTACTCTCAGTAGGACAGTAAGTTAGGAAACTACAGAGTTTCATTTCGTTTTTTAAAAGGCAACACTTGGGTAATGTGGTTGTGACTGAAATGAAATAACTCTTTTGTGACAGTATAAAGAAGTCCCTGCCTCTGTCCTTTGCTTTCCTAGGGCGTGATGTTGTGTCTAATCTTGAGTTACTATCTTAGGCCACAAGCATTTTCAGCTTTAAAAAGAAATAGTAAATCCATTTCTCCACAACCATTATGTTGTCTAGATATGCTTGATGGCAGTCCAGCTCATCTATTATTTCTAATTTTTCTCAGTAGTTGAGAGTTATGGTGCCACTCATGCATCTCAGGGGCTGAATGTAGGCTGCTTCAATAAAATCTTGAGAAAGAATAAGAGGGACAAATTTACACTTTCTAAGATGGATTTAGAATTTTGAAGTTGTCTTGAAGCAAGAACACCAATTTTGCTTCCTGTAATGCTAAATGACATTAGTTGTAGCATTTAATTTTGCAAAGTAGAAATAAGCGTGAAGATATTTAGGTTTCAAAGACAATTTTTCCTACATTTCTCCTATATCATGCTATGATAAAATACTTGTTTTTCTAAATATTTTTGTGTTATTTCAGAATGAAAACGTGATCAAAGATTTGGTTTGAAAATCAGTTATCTGAAACTAAGCTTTATCTAAGCCTAAAATGCAAATGGAAGTTTTTGCTCTTTTGCATTATTTATAAGAAAACACTTACTAAAATTTATGTAAAACTTAAAAAAATACCAGGAAAATAAATTGATTTGAAAAATAGTAGACTTGTCAGATCCAATGCTTCATGCTTAATTTAAACCTGCAACTTGCTTTTTGCCTGTTTCCAAAGGAAAAAATACTTTTCAAGAGATGAGTGTAAGCTTAAGATCCTTCCAGTTCTAGTGCATCAGCAAATCTAACAAATGTAAGATCTTTTTGGAAAGTGTGTGCTAATTACATGGAGAGAGATACAGATTAGTTAATACTTTGATTTGAGCTTAGTGTGACTCGAAGGAAGAGATTGTAAACACTGTAACACTCAAACTGTTTTTGAGTTGTAGTGTAAGTGTGTTTTAATAAGACTGTGAGGGTGGAAAGGCAAAATTTTTAAAGAGTGGAAAATATTTGTGTGTCTCAGTGCAATGAGACTCGAGGTTCAGTTGCTGTGCAGATAAGAGCAAATTAATAGAAATCACACAGATATATGTGGCTTACAGAGTACAGAGAGGAAAAAAGGGGGATATTGAGACTGCCCTTGTGAGAGCACATATGAAGTGTTTGGATAACTTACTTTTTCTGTTTCATGTTTTTTGTTTTATCTTCGATGTAATCAGGCGCGCGAGAGGGAGCAGATAGCGCCGGAGCTGAGATTAGTGACGGAAATCGAACCAAAAGAAGTGAGTTTTGAGGAGGGATTTGAAGGAGAGGGAGGGGACTTGGCACACAGGAAGAGGAAGCTGAGGAAAAAGCGTGGATTTGCCAATGGGCCAGAGGAAAAAAGAAGATGTGACAGGAGACAATGTGAGCCAAGATGTAGGTGGGGCAGACTGTTTAGAATTGAAAGGTGAGGTTAAGGAATCCAGGCTTGATGTGGAATCAGCCAGTCAATAGACTGATGTTTTATGTACGTGTATGTATGAATGTGTGGGAGTTGTGATGTGCCAGGAGAGGAAAAACAGCTGAATCTTTAGTGCTATAGAGAAGCAAAAAGGTGGTGGTTTTAGGCAGATGAAGGGAGATCGATGTGTGTGTGAATTCTGCTGTTGATGCAAGTGTTGGATTTTAGAAATTATTCTCGTTTTGCCTTCCAACTGTTGGAGGATTAAGGTCACACAGAGGAATGTTTTAAAATACAATTGTTTCAGCCAATTGAGGTGTAAGGCTGTTGGGTAATTTCTACTAATGTGTTTCTTGATCGTGCAATTTCCTGTGTTTTGATTTAGTGAATCTAATTAGCATAATGACAGTTTTCCTCAGCAGTGATAATGTTTTGTTTTCTAACTATAGTGTCCCATTACTTTTCTACTGTCAATTTTCTTAGCTTACTTGAAAGATGAATTTTAGTAAGAATAAAAAAGGAGGAAGGGCATGGTTTTGATTTTCTTTTTTTTTTAAAGTTATATACATAAATGAGAAACTCACTGGAGTGAGATACTGTGGGAAGTGGGAGATCAGGCTGGATGGTGCAGAGTTACACAACTACAACCAATAGAGAGATGATCTCAGGACACCAGGGAAAAATAGGGAAAACTTCTCTTAGGAGGTTTATGATTTTATTAATTTGTAATGTGTTCATATTTAGGTCCTTGGCTTTGTGTATACTGAATGATCTGGGAAAATGTCCTGCTATTAAAGATTTGTAACTAGTTTCTGTGATATGTATGGTACTTAGTGTACTGCTATTATGGTTGTCAGGGTAGATATCTTACTATTACCCTGAGACAAATTTCATACTTTGTTGTGCTTTAGGCTCCCCCTGTTACTTGCAAATTTTTTTGTTAATTTTTTCTAAAAAATTCTGAAAAACACATAAATGGATCTTTTTGAAGAAGTTCCTGTGTTCTTCAAAAGAAATAGAATTGCATCAGCATCTTAGATGCTAAATAGTTGTTCCATATCAGGAGCTGTGCTGCTGAGCAGTCACTTAGCAGGAGTTCAAGGTCAAAAAGCAGGAATTACCTGTCTCACTTTAGTGCTTATATGTTTACTCCAGAGCCAGAATAAAAATGGGCCAAATCAGAATCACAACATTGTTTAGGTTGGAAGGGACCACTTGAGATTATCTTGTCCCCCGTGACTGCTCAAGTTTCTCTTCCCTGAGTTTAAATTTACATGTTAATCTAGAAGAAAAGTATAACTGTTACCGTAACTAATGTGCCTCTGCTCTGGCTTCTGAATGCTTAACCTTTGTTTGCTTCATTGTTACGTGTCCTGCTACCCTTTGTAAGCCCCATGTTTTAAGAACAGTATCCAAACAATGAAATAAAGTACAAACAAACCCCCCTTCATGCTGCACCAAAACAGCTGCCAGTAGAATAAGATACTTGGTTCAGTGTGGTCCTTGAAGCTTGGTATCTTCTGAAAGCTTTTGATTTCAGGGTGCTTAGCTTGACTGAAAATTAGAATGCCCTTCAGAAGCTATTTTGACGCCGGCTGCACTTCTTTTCCTTCCCACTTTTATCAAAAGATCCAAGCTCCAGCCATGTTACTGATCCTCTTCATCCCTTGGCCACGGTACAGTGTAAGACTTCTCCTCTCAGGTCTCCTAATTCCTCGCCACCATAAACAGCTCAATCCATTTTTTTTGTCCTGCTGGATGGGCAAGGCTCTGGATGGACTGGAGCTAATGTGTGTGCTCGTTTTGGCTGGCCAAAAAAGAGGTATGTGTTGTGCTTTTGATTGACTGCAGCTGGCACTTAGACACGCTCCTTGGTGCTGGCACGTCACCAAACGGCCTCGGTAGTTGCCTGTTGTGTGAACGTTGCCAAAGCGCTTCCAAACTTTGCTGCTGGCTAGTCTGGGTGTGTGCAACTGCGCTGACAGTGTGGACATGGAACACTTTGTCTTAGAGGAATCAAAACTGTTGGTGTTTCTAAGTACATAGCTTTATGCAAAGTAGAAGCGTAACCCATGTAAAGCAGTTTTTTAAAATAAGTGTTGAGCTGTGGAGAAGGAAAAGCATGATACAAGAAGTAGTGCTCTGTATCTGTGTTATGCTTTTTCTCATACATCAGCAAAGGCAAAGAAACTCAACAGAAACTTACAAGACTTATAATATGTAACGAGTGGGAAAAGTTGCATTGAAACAAGATTTGTAAAATCAAGCTACTTAAGGTATCTCATGGTGACATAACAACAGGGAAATACTCCAGAATAAAACAGAGTCTGTCTACAACTGGGGAGGGGGGGCGAATTACTATTTGTCAAGCACTCATGTAACTAGACAAAAAATAGTCTTTTACATACTTTTTTTGTGTGTGGTAGTACTTGTGTAGCGAGATTGCCTTTAGTGAATGAATTATCATTCAGAACACTCAGATGCTTAATTCTGCCGGGGAGATGGTTGATTGCTATTGCCTTTTATATCGCATATAACTTCTCCACGAAAAAATCGGTACCTTGATGTTATAGGGAATTAAACAAAAAAAATACTTCAATCAAAAGGATCAAGTTACAGTTTTTGCAGTCAGGAGACTTAAGGCAGGAGTCTGATTGCTCCAAAGTAGTGGAAGCAGCCAGTCTCAGCCTTGGAAGTATTTAGTTCCCCTTTGCTATAGGGTGGCTTGACTTGGTCTAGATGCCAAAAATTTGGGATCCAAGTTCTGTTGTTTCTGTATGGTCAAAATAAACCTTTATCAAAAATGTCATTTTTATTGCCGTAAGTAGGGATTGTGAAATTATATTGTAGAGCAATTTATTGAATTTACTGGATGAAACCTGTAATATGTAATACAAAAAGAATGAAAGAGTGCTATCTGTAGTTACTCCAGAAACACAGGTGTAGTTAGATAGGAGTCATCCCTGCTTTATCAATTTAACTCAGGAAGAACTCTGCCCAATTATGCAGCTGGACCAGGCTTTGAGATGGTTGTAGCTTTGCATAAGAGTTCAGCAGCTATGGAATTGTATGTTTCAGAGCCAGAAGGGTAAGGAAAATGTCAGTGTTCTGGGTTTGGGAGCTCCTGGGTTTGTAAAGCAATGACAAAAAGTAGGTAACAGGGAATGTGTGCAGTCATCATTCTGCACACAGTGGGTTTTTTTAAGTTGTGGTGTTGTTTTTATTCCTGTGGCATTCTGATAGTACTTCAAGTTTATTATGGCCGTTTGGGAAACTCATTTTACCAGTCTTTGAGTAGTAACCAGAAAAATAAATTGAACTTCTCTTGAACATTTCTAAATGAAGTTGCACTGGGTTTTAAGAGTATTTTCTGTTTGAGTCTCAGGCACTTTTTAATACTTACTTACCATTTTTTCCTTTTTGGAGGATTGGATAGCTTTGGTCAAAGCTGCTGCAGCAGCAGCAGCCAAGAACAAAGCAGGAAGTAAACCCAGAACCAGCGCAAACAGCAATAAAGATAAAGAGGACAGAAAGTGGCTAAAAGTCCCTTCAAAAAAGGAAGAAACCTCAACCTCTACAATCATGCAGGATGTCCAAAAAAAAGAAGAGGAGCCTACATCTAGTGACACATTTGGTAAAAACACATTCTATAAAAGACAAAATCGGTTTTCCTGTAGTGTTGAATTAGAATTCCTGTTGCTAATTTTGCAATTAAGTAATAACTAATATTTCTAGAGGAAGATGTCTTATTTGCTGTTATCATGACTTTGTGATACGTAATCAAAATAAACCATTCTTATCAGATAAATCTAGTTCAGTCAGCACTCTTAGTGCACAACTTCTGACTAGCTTTATCAAGAGCAGAACATTGGTTTTTTTTCAATAATTTCATTGTACACTTCAGTTCATATTCCTGCATCTGCTGTTACCTGTGAGATAATCCTTGATCTTGTTCTAAGAAAAAGAATATTCCAATATGCAAGATATATCCATATTCATCGATGTTTGAAACTATTTCTTATTTGATAAGAATTTGTTAATTTTTATGGTCTTTAATGCTGATTTCTCAGAATATTGACTAAAAGTTACGAATTTTGAGGTAATATGCATTTAATGCTTTAGTTTGTAATGCTAGGCCTTCAGAATGTGCCATTTTAATTTTTAATAGACTTTTAAATTTACTGCAGTTCTGAAATATTTAAGTATTATGGGCATTGTTATGTATTTACGAAATGTGAGTTAATGAGGTTTCTCTTGTGTTTAGAAGTAGGATTTCCTGTAGTGGATGTTCCAAAGATGGCCTTTGTGCAGGCAGAGAGCACGTTATCACACAAGAGGAAAAGTAATCTAGGCAACTCATTTCAGGCAAAGAGAGCTCGTCTAAACAAGATCACTGGTAAAATATTTTTTTTGTTGTTGACTTTGTTCCTTTTTATGTAGTGAAATATACATGTTTATATAGAAGGTATTGAAGCAGATTGCATAAAAACACACTTTTGAGGGAGACAGTCACTGCAGTCTTTTACTTGTTGGGAATTGTAAAGGAATCTATAACTGGTAAAATCTGCCTTGTTCATACATTCAGAGAATGGTTTCAGACTGTACTTGGTCTTTTTAGATTTTTAGGACAGTAGTCATCCTGAATTAGTGAATTTCTTGACTATATGTTAACTCCAGCTGCACAGTTTTCTCCATTATTGGATGAATTTGGGCTTTGCACAACTTCTTAACAAAGTCACGAATTACATCCTACCACTGTAAATTAAAGCTATGGTTAGCTGTGGAGAAACAACTTAGTTAATATGTTCAGTGATGAGTTATAAATTTGGTAATATTTAGTAATACGTTAGTAAATGTTTTGTCACAAAATTTTTGCTGAGAAGAGTTCACAGTACGTCATTCAGGAACACACAAAGTATTTAAAGGATTAATTCACTTTCACTGAAAGGTAACACATTCTCTGCTAGCAGAGTGTGCCTTTGTGGAGACAGACAGACATTTTTTAAAGTTATAGTAAAGTCAAAGGCTGCAAAATCATGGTTTCTGATTATTCATCTCAGTCTATATGAGCCTGTCTTACAGCTATTATTTTCGTAAAGCTCCTTAGAAAATAAAAATCCACAAACACAGGTAAATATGATTTCTAAATCTACAGGTTTTTCAGCTAGTTTTGGTATCTTCTACCACTAAATGCTATTGGAAAGAAATGAACAGAGCTCTTTAAATATTTATCTCACTAGTCTGTACATCTTATACTACTGGCAGCAATTAAATTGGGACTCAGCTGAGGATGTACATAGTATGGGCAAAGGGGAGTAGAAATGCTGTTGGTATCTTAGATATTTGTTAACTAAATTTGGAACCAAAGAAGGAACCTTCCAGCAATGAAGATGCTGGAGGCAGAAAATGGGTTTTTCTAAAGGCTGCATCTGAGGTATGCTGTTACTTACAGAGGATGGTGAACCTGTAGTGCTGCTGCGGTAGTTGTGGAGGAATGGTTGGTTTGAAAAAATACTTAATGGGGTAGAGAAGAAGGAAATAATAAGGGTTGTGTACTGACAGATCTGGCAGAATCTAGATTCCTTTAATGACTTGAATTTCTGATCACTGAGCATCTTAGCTAGAAGTAAGAGAATCTGAGAATGAGAGAATGGTTTGGTTTAGAAGGGACCTTAAAAGTCATCTAATTCCTACCCTGCTGCCTTGGGCAGGGACACCTTTCACTAGGCGAGCTTTCTCAAAGCCTCATCCAACCTGGTCTTGAAATCTTCCAGGGATGGGGCAGCCACCCTTCTCTGAGGAACCTGTGGTTTATAGAACCACAAAAGTTTCCTCATGGACTGTAGCTTGTTGTTTTGTATTTAAAACATCTTCACTTGATTTTGAGAATTCTTTTACACTTTTTGGTATAGATGCGTGATCGTCAAATAACACTGCAGTTTTTGTGACTTAATTTCAATAGGATAATTTCAGTCCCAAATACTTATTCTAGGCCATGAAACCTAAATCTTTTATGTAGCCTAATGCAGAATTAAAATCTTATCAGATAATTTTATTTGGTTTTTTTTTTTTGATAGGGCTAAGTAAATTTCTTCTTTTCAGTTAACCTAAACTGAAGCATCACTTAATCTAATACAAGAAGTAAATGAAACAAAGCACCAAGTGTTTATTGTGGAGAGCTGAAATATTTTTGTTTTATTTTTATGTCCTGAATAGGTCCTGAGATCCCAGGCTTCACTAACTTACAATTCTTTGAGCATCGTGCACCTTAAATTAATTTTTGTTGTATCTGATTTTTCGTGGAATGCAAAGGAATTCCCTCTGTATTTGTCAGGTTATTTTTGGGGACTTCAATTCTTTACCCCAGTAATGACATTTTCAGAGATTATAACAGAAGTTTTTATTCAGATTTTCAGGTTGTATCAGTTCTGCTGTGTCTTATGGCACAGAACTTTTTCTTTCTCTGCATACTTAGGCAATTAAAGTTATTGTGTGGGGTACAACTGAGCTATTACCATATGCTTTGCTGAAAAAAGCTTCCGTTTTCTTATATTGCCTTGTCTTTTACAGGTTTTTGTAGTAGTGATATTGTGCATAAGTGTGTTAATGAAATGACATATTCTAGTGTATATATTTGCTCCCAGTATGGTCCCATTATTGAGGTAATTTGGGAGCTCCACGGCTGAGAATATTTGTTTGGAAATTTGATTCCTTGTTGATTCTATCTCAGCTAGGTTTGCATGTGTTACAGTTAGGAAGTAGGAATACAAATTCTAATGCGGATTTCTTAAAGACTGGAAAGGGGAGAGAGAGAACAGTTTTGTATATAATTCTGATGGCAAAATTTGCTTATGCATCATACGGATTGTTTAAAAGCCCAAGTGGATGGTGAGGCTTTATTTTACAACCGACAACTTTGTTTTCATCTTGTCAGTGGAAATGCCAGAGATTTACCTCCTGTATAAGGATTCCATCGTTGGAATGTCCTTTTGAAACTTTTTGTTTCTTCTAGTTTAAAGTGTTCAGCTTTGCATGGAGTCATTTCAGAAAGATTCATGTTGTAGATATATGCAGTTGATATTTGCTTTGTTTTCTACAAATTCTTGTTGCAAGGTGCTTCTAACTGCAATTATCTGCAACTTTTCTCCTAAGGTTTATTGGCATCCAAAGCTGTTGTTGCGGATGGTGCTGAAAAAAAGGAAGGCAACAAAGAAACAGCTCCAGTCCTGGAGCAGGTATGAAATGGTAGAGTTTGATTCTTTTGCAAAGTTCCCACTGGAGTGTGCCATGGAGATGTAGTACCTACAACATTAAAATTTTCCCCTTCAGATATAACAGGGAACTGAAAATTTATCTTATGTTTACATTTCTGGCAGAGCCAGAAGTATGGAATTTAATTGTCTCTAAATAGTGTTGACTTGAATTTCAATAATGAGCTTTTGTGTTAGAAAACTAACAGAAAACAAAATAAAATGAAGTCTCCACACAAGAAATGTGAGGAGACCAGCATCCCAAGGTCCAGTTTTGTAGCTGGAACCATGACTGGCTTAGGAAAAGGCCCTTACACAAATTTAATTTGTGTTTGAAACAGGGTTTTTGCCATCACATAGAACTTCTTTTAAAAGAAGTTTCTTTTATATTGTAAGAATTTGGTGTTGTAGGCTTGTATGTGATTTATGAACTGCTCAATGAGCCATACATTTTGCAAGGGTGTGTATTTTAATAAATACAAAAAAGAAACTTTTAAGTAATGTTAAGGGTCTGATTTTTTTTAAACCTGTGAAAATTGGCAGGACCTGGAGGCTGCCATTTTATCTTTGGCTTATTCCACTGTGTTCAGGCATTGCTGGACTCCAAGTTGTGCAGTACCTTGCATATAAAAAAGGGCTGAATGCCTGAGCACGGTAAAGCAAGCTAAGGATGAACAGTAGTCTTGATTCAGGACATCTTTGTTTTCCAATGATTTAAATCAGAGCCTTAATGTAGTTTTAATACAGCTTTTTTGTATGCATTTTCATTCTTCTTTAACAGCAGCACTTGAACATAACAGCCTTGCTGCCTGCAATTCTTTAACAAGCACTTCTGTTCTTTATCCCCCCACCCCCGGCACACTCTACGAACAGTCCCCACCCCAAACTTGATTTGATATTTCGGTTGTACTGGTTCTTTAGAGCTGATACATGATTGCATTGCTCTGGTTTTCCCATTGACGCTGCATTGGATGCAAGTGTTGTCAGTGGAACCTGGCTCTCTGTTTTGGATGCTGTCACTGTAAGGGCCGGCGGAGCCGCCGCGGTGCCGATGCATTGACCGATATTTCGCATAAAGGTTTACAGTGTATTGACACTACATTCCATTTCTCAAATTTTTTGCATATTAAAGATGCTATGATTTTTCTTGCTACTGTGTGTGATATTTTCAATGTGCAAAAAACTGTGAAATGGCTTACAGCATGTTGGTTTTTCTTTTTTTTTTTTTTTTTGAAAGAATCATTACAATGTAAATCTTGCCATGCAGAATCCCATTGCAGTGAATGGGACTTTGTGGTTTACATAGACTGTGTATGCAACAGTATAAACTGCAGTGCATATTTACTATAACCTTTTTGTTACTTCTTAGACTTAGTAACTCGGCTGTTCCTGTTTATTGATCAGATATTAAAAAAAAAAAAAAAGATGTCTCTGTCATTGTTTACATGTTAATGGTCTGAAAAACCTCATTTTTTGAAAATACTAGTTAAGCTCCTTTAAAGAGGCATCTAAAATCCCAAATTCTCCTATGCCTTTGCTAACTAACTAAAACCAGAAACCTCACAAACATTTAAGTGATTGACTGTGGGGAGGAAAATTGTTGAGCTTAAAGTTTTTTTCACTAAGTTTCTGCCCAAACTGAAATTAAAATGGCCGAGTTATAAACCTCCCAAAAAGTTTTCCAGTAGTGAAGCTGACATTCCTTAGAGGTTTTGTCTGCTACTGCTATAAAATTGAATGGGTAAAATATCTTGTAGGGTTTTTTTAATAATGTAATACAGAACATGGTAGTAGAAATATTCAGGCCAATAGCCGAAAACTGACTTTGTTGATGGAAGTTTTTGTTTATATATTTTTAGTTTACAGTTGTCTTAAACCCAAAACCTCAGACAATTAGTTGCAGATACAGTAGTTTATTTAAATGTATTAGGGTATGTCATGTTATATTTCCTTTTGACCAAGACCTGATTAGATGGATAACATTAATTCATTAAGGTTTTTAATGTTAATTTGTCCTGTTAAGAGGTTAAGCACCTTATCAAAATCTTAATTTAATTTTTTTAATCTTGTTTAAATAACTTTGTAATTTGAAAGTAATGGATGCTGTAGTATGTCTTTCACATCTGTGAAGATGAACAATAAAATTGTTTATTTACAAGTTACGACTCTAATTAATTTCTGGTAATACCTCTCATAACCAGCATAGGTATCCTTTACAGTCCATGGAATATTTTATTTAAATGAATAAACTGCACTTAGTACTTGTGTAATTGAGTTATTCAAGGTAGCACTGATGTCTGCTGACTGGGATGTTTTGCACCGGACCTTTACAGGATACTTCCAGCGAGCAATTCACGTAGCATTCAGGGGTGCCCTTTTACAGACATAGGATGCGCACTTGTGGGGTTTTGTTTTGCCTTTTTTTTGGTTTTCCTCCATTGGAACATGGAAAGTTCCAGTGGAAAATAAAATTGCAATTTATAACAAAACTCAATAATACCCTCAAAATACCAGAGACGAGATGTTTTTAGTTTGGATAAATTGGTGCGCACGTTCTAGAAATAACCTTCTGCTCTGTTAGTTATGGTTTTATTAGATGGTGCTATGCTGTGTGATGTAACTGAGACAAGAAAGGGGACAGGCTTGAGGAGTTACGTTCAGATATTGTAGTTTGCCCTTATTAGGCAAGTTGTAACACACACACGGTTTTAGTAATGTAGGAAGACCTTCCAGTTAAAAATTGAAAATGCCAATGTCTGTCAATGCATGCTAACGGTCTAAAAATAATACTCAGTATGTGTTAAGAAGGATGAAAATTGGTGAATTTGGAAAACTGCTTTATATATTGACTTTGTTTCCTTCAAAAACTGTTTTAACTCTTTATCTGCTCATGTTTTCTCCAACAGTTAGCAATCTATTTAACCCTGTGGTGCTAGAAGTTGTGATTTCTTCATGTTTGCACAAACATATAATGTGGTGAAATCCAGACTCCCAGCACTGAAAAGGGGTTGTGTGAGAGTGTGCTCAGTATTTGGAAACCTTTTGTTATTTTCTGACATTACTTAAAGGAGCATTATTAACTTTTTCGGGTTCTCAAAAATACGGATTTCACGTTAAATATGGTTTTCCTGAGGAACTTCTTAATTTTTTTAATTGTATTTTATTTTTTTACTGTGATCAGGGAAATGACCTTGCAGGGAAAAATTTGGCAACTTTTTTTTTTAAAACTGCAATCCCCTGAGGAAGGGTTGTTTGTTCATAGCAGTGCCAGAGTTCAGGGAGTGTCTGGACAACGCTCTCAGTCACACGGCTCAGCAGTAGCCAGTCCTGAAAGGAGCAGGGAGTTGGACTCAGAGATCCTTGTGGCTCCCTACCAACCTGAGATGTTCTGTGATTGTACATCAGTGTGTGCCTTCTGGCCTGTAACAAAGTGTTTTCTCCAAATTACACGTGGAGACTGCGCTGACAGTCCTGGTCAATTGGAGATGAAAAACTTTGGTGAATTTTTAAATGGGGAACAGAGGAAAAATGCTTTCTTTTCGGGCTTTTTGCAGGTATTTCATATAGTAAGAATTGAGCGTTCTGAATACTGAAAACAATTGATAGTGCTCCTTTAAAAAAAGCAAAATTTAATGTGATGCATTTTAAATAGTCTTCATTTGTTCTTAAATTAATGTTGCTTTAATGTGTGTTTGAATACTAAAATTGCTTTTAAAAAGATCAAAATAGAATACAAGAACTACAGCGAAGAAACTGAAATAAAAGTATCAATTTTTTATTATTTATTCAGGAGATTTCACCTAAACCACAAAGTCAGAAAAAAAATGAAGCTGATATTAGCAGTTCTGCCAACATTCAGAAACCTGCACTGTTATCCTCAACTTTGTCTTCAGGAAAGGCTCGCAGCAAGAAATGCAAACAAGAATCTGGAGATTCTTCTGGGTGTATAAAGCCCCCTAAATCACCACTTTCCCCAGAATTAATACAAGTCGAGGATTTGACGCTGGTCTCTCAGCTTCCTTCTTCTGTGATAAATAAAACTAGTGAGCACAGACATTTTAAAAAAAATACCGTAACTACTTATAAGAGATATACAGAAATTTTCTTTGGTTGTAAATGGCTATTGCTTTTAAAAATTAATCTGCTTTAAATAAAGGGTCCAAGTGGGAGAATTAGGGGTAGCTCAGTATTTTAAAAGTCAAGTTGCTTAACAAGGCATTTGAATTACTCTACCAGAAATAGTGCATTTAAATAATATATTGATATTTATAGAGTTGTGGCTTTTAATGGTTGGCTTTCCCTCCAGCTTAAATCTCCACATTAGTATTAACAGTGATACAGGAAAAATCAAACCTCCCTTCTGAAAAGGGCCTGATTCATTAAAAAGAAAAGACATACACCTTGGTGTGGACCTTTCCTTCTCTGAGAAATTTCACCTTCAGCAGGCTGATGTGCTGTACCTGTTGGCTGTGGCATTCTTCGCCTTATGTGATATTTCCTCCAAATATGATGTGAGAGAGAAGATGGGTTCGAGATCTGTGGTGGAGAAATATAAAAAATTGTGTTTCTTTGTCTCAGAAAAATCTCATAGGTGTTCAGCTTCTTAACACATGTAACTGATTTGCCAGGTACCAAAGTACTGTTTATCAGAAGAACAGGGAAAGCTTTATGCTGCATGTTTGAATATGCTATTTTTTGTGATTATTAAATTATTTCTATCATTTTCATTTGAGGTTACATTAGGTTTTTAGTGTTGCTTAGTGTCAGGTTCTTTGCCTGAAGAATATTAAGTGATGACACCAAGGGTTAAAGTAAATGCAGGTTTCAGTAAGTCAGAAGCTACATTTTTGTTTCACTTTTAGAATAGTGATTGAGGATGGAAGATTCAACCTGCATCATGTGTTCCCCTTAACCTTCATATTTTCTCTTATGAGATAAGTTTCTTTTTAATCTTTACTCACAGATAACTCTAAATGAGTGGGAGAGGGAGGGGTGCAAATTCAGCTGTCTTCATTTGTGGTAAAGGACACAGTGGTAAAAACTGTATTTTTGTCCCCACTAAATATTAGCAGTCATCTATATTGTAATACGCCTTCCATCCCCACCCCTAGAACAATGGTAAGTAGTTTTCCTGGAGCATGTTTATGTCTTGGATTAAGTTAGACTTCTCTGTAGTGTTTTTTAAAATCAGCTAATTTAAAAATTGGTTACTTAATAGGTTAGATCTTGTCTTTTAATGTTTGGCTTCCAAGTTTTTGCTACCTCTAATGGTAATTTAGTTTTGCTGTGTCTTTATTTTTAAACCTGTGCATCTTTGACACTTAAAACTACTTATAAAAAGGAGAAAAGAGTGATTTACAGTGTTATAGTGACTTAAATGTTTTTTCTAAGGCAAAATTTTTTGAAACTGGGTAAAATTGGAGAGGTGTAACAGAGTGTGGGTTTTTTGTTTTTAATGAATCAGGCCTATATTAACCTATATCAATCCTCCCCCACTCCTTTTTTCTTTTGATTTTTATTGAATATAAAGTCCAGGAGCCTTCTTACCGTGCCTTGCATTGGCAGTGTATGTTTGAATTACAGTTGGGGTATTGATATCAGGTTAGCAGAAGAGAGGAGGTGGGATATAAAATTAAACACTGTTTTCAATTATTTTTCTAAGTTATATGTTAACACTATCCATGAGTTTTTAGATCTTTAACTGTGATCATTTGTTCTGTTTATTGTTAAATCCTATTGTCCCCTTCCATTTTAATTAGCCTGCTCCCATGGGTTATATGGGGAGGGTTGCTTATTGTAAATACCCTGTTTGCCTAAAACAGCCACCTTTATCAGTGGGGAAATAGGTGTCCTAATATTGTATAGTAAGCAAAAACCAGAATCATGTCTTGAGCACAGCTCTTCCTTTTGCTCCTGGTAGTCACAGTTTTGTAATTACTTTTTACCAGCTTTACTGTGATTACCAGCTTTGCAAATAAGGGCTACTTAAAGCACTCCCCATCCTTAGATCTCAAATACTGCGGTAAGATGATGGTATATCTCTCTGCTTCATGAACATTGAAAGATCTCTTTTTAGGTCCATCACAGCCAGTGAATTCCCCTAGATCCTACAAACATAGCCAGCGGAGAAGAAGATCACAGCGTTTAGCCACTTGCTCCTTGCCTGATGATTCTGTAGAAAAAGTTTCTTCTCCCTCTTCAGTTACTGATGGAAAAGTGTTCTCCATCAGTGGTCAAAACCAACAGTCATCAAAGTTGGAGGGTAATGTATCTTAATCTAATAAAGACCTGCCCAAGAGAAATTGAATCATAAAAACTAGACCTTTCATGGTTTTCATCTAATGGGGTATTTTGACTTGCTGTAGCTAAAGCTGTTTGCTGTTCCTATGTTATGTAACGCTGCAATCCAGACTGTTGTTTGTTGGACCCTGTATCTTTTTTAATATGACATTTTTTCTTTTGTGTAGTACCTGATGTTGCTCACATGTCACTTGAGAAGCGTGGACCATGTCTCCCTCTTGATTTAAGCCGTAGTTCAGAAGTTACAGCACCATTATCCACAGAATCCACTTTCCGTAATGAATATCCCAGTAAAGACAAGGAAGATATTCAGATGGTTACATATCTTTCTTCTAAAGCAGTAACTGATGGAAGAGTAGCTACAGCAGCGTCAGGTAAAGAGATTCAGTACACAACCTGACAGGTGTATAGTTGCAGGGGTAAAATGTGTGTGTATTCAGTCTCGCAGAAAGAGGGGATACTTTCTGTTTTCCTTTCTGCACACTCAGAAACCTGCCAACCACTCTTCCTGGACTCCCATCTGCATATTCTTTGTCTTCCCCTGCCTTTGAGCTGCATCAGCATTTCTAACATGTTTTAAGGAGAATGTGAGAGTGTGGAATGTAGGAAGCAGTATTTCTTTCAAACATATTTTACGTCATTAAAAGTTGTAAAAATAGTTAATGAAGCGTTTACTAACATATTAATATACACTTGTGGCTTCAGCTTTAAAACAGTGGTGTTTTCAAAGACAGTATTCCTCTGCTTTCTATTTGCAGCTGAAATTTTGCCCTTTGCTTGCTTTGAGATGTTACTTGAAAATATTTGTGCAAAGTCTTCAGAAACTTTTATATAGACTTGGTCACCCTCAGAATTAGCACAGAGTCCAGTCCTGGAATTCTGTGCTGCCTCTCCCTTTCTAACAGTTCACTGGCTACTGTGGCTTCCATCAACCACTTGAATAGAGGTAATGAAGAGATGTGGGGAAGGACTGGTATAGTGGTTTGCAGACCCTAGAAATGGACTGTTTTCATCCAGTGTATCTTATGTGTCCATATCACTTTTTTATAAATAAGTCTCATGTGGGTGAGTATCAAATAATTTCTAACTGACTTCCAAGAAAGAATTCTTTTCACAAGTTTGTTGTTTTGTTTTTTTTTTTTAAGTGAGAAAATTGTACTGTAAAGTAAGAGGAGGGAAAAAATCAAATTATTATACTCTGCTGGGAAAGTTGTTGATAAAAGTGATTGATAGTAAGGGAGGACAGCATGACCTTAAAGGATATAGTTATGGCACTTAAAATATATCTTAATCCATTAATCTGTGAATCTCTTAAACTAATTTGTCAAAATAAGGGCTATGGGAATTTCTGATGATCTGCCACTTAAGCTTTTTAAAGTATTAAAATACTACTTAATTACTCGAGTAATGTGACAGTCTTCATTTGCCCTTGATACTTTGCATAGCAGTAGAATTACAGATTCCTGGGAAAAGTGCTTCTGTGAAAGTCCTTTTTATTTTATGTCTTCTGCCACTAAGAGAAGGGCTTTTGGGAGATGTGTATTTGCCCACTCACTGAACAAGCTCCTAAAAGAAACCAACAGCTTCCAACTGCCATCTGTTTCTTGTTTGGTAGAACTCATTTCAGTTCTTAGGAATTTAACTTCTGGCTTTTCTGATATATCTTCTGGCTCATTTAATGTATAGTTGGTAATGCTGGAAGTTGCCTGTTTCCATCATGGGCCTCGCTCAGAGTCAGAGGGAGCACTTGTACCTCTTTCCTTGTTGAGCTGGGTCTTTGTTGTGGCCACAGCTGAATCTCCTCAAAGAAAGAATAAATTTCATTTAGAGAAGGAGGGATGCCCAAAGCTTTCCTTTCTCATTCCTGTCAAAGCTTGAAATTATTGAGAAAAGTTAATTTGCATTATGCAGGAACATCTCTTTAAGTGCAGTTTAATATATTGCATTGTTCAATGTATCCACTGTGCCTCTGTACACTTCAAATTGAGAACTCTGGTGTTAAATCCAAACTCTTCTGTAATTGGGTTTTCTTGATCTGAAAGAACTGTTTCAAATTACATCTGTTTATGATATTTCTGCTGTTAAGATTTTACTGACACAGTTTGGACAGATCTGGTGTTCTAGATTTTGCCATCACTGGGTTTTGCTAAGTGCACTTAAATTAGACCTGCTGTCTTTGTAATCTTTGAAGTAGGTAAGTGTAGGTAGTTTTAGAGATGATGGAGGTTATTTAGCCTTGAACAGCGTGTTCTGATCACTGTAATAGAGCTGGACTGGTTTAGGGCCAGAGATTTTATTTGTGGTGTTGCAAGTTCTGACTTCTGATGGAGTCAGTTGAGTCAGTTGAAAAAATAATGGTGTGTTGTTAAAATGATGTGTTTTAATTGCTTTATTCAAAAGTTACTTAGTGTTTTTTAGAGGAGAAGGACTAGGTGCACCTAAGGGCAGATGCATAAATGGCAGCTCATAGTATTAACACATAGATTTCAATATCACTGTTCAAAATTAACAACTGATTGTTTTGTAAAGGCCACACAAATATTCTGTTGTAATTCCTTCAGTCCACAGGCTCCATGGAAATACTGTGCACTTTGGTACATCCTGTACCCATCATTACTGAACAGAGGTACTGCTTTGCCTAAACTGTTGTGAGGGCCTCCTGATATTGTACACACATAACTAAGAATACTTGTTTCCATTTGCCAGATTGTTTAAAATGCAGATAGGTATCTGGCCTTCAAATCCACAGTCAGTCAGAATACCTGAAAAACACTGTAGTTTTGCAGTTCTGAATATCTGAAGTTGAGGTCTTTCTGTAGTTGTGTTTTTCTTTAAATTTGTGATTGTTTTTCTTGGTTTCTATAACTGTACCATTTGTGTTAGTTTAGCTGTTATTTATTGAGCAAACATTACTTCAGCAAGCAATCTGGGTTTTGAAATTTAGGTGAAAGGAAAATATTGTTACACTCAGTAATCTAACAATATAATATTTATAATACTAATGTAACAATATTATCATTAGGTGTTATCTCCTGTTATAACTAGTCTATAGATGCTGTTGCTACTAGGTTAACATAAGGTTAACTACATGGGAGAAATTTGCACTTAGACTAAAAGAAAAAGAACATTGCATACTTTTACATAATTACATTGGTAACAGTTTACTGTAGCAGGAGCAAGAAAGAGCTGATGGACAAAATTTTCAGAAAATGAGACCAATGGCTTTTTAAAAACTCTTGCCAGTGTTCCTGCTTTTAAGAGGAATGATGTATGACAATGTAGCTCTTGTCACTTTGGGGCTGTTTGGAGTAAAACATCTATTAACAGTCAGATTTAGTCCCTGATTTGAATATCTGCCATTCTGATCTCTGCCCTGAAGTTCCCAGTTTGTGTTGGCAAGAACCTTTTTATGGGCTTATCCTTCCTGAAGAGACTGTTTTGTGTAGGATCTGGTATTAATCTGTGATATGTAACTAAAATGTGCTCAGATATAAAATTGTTCCTGTGCACTGAGAATTCAGAATACTAAATTAAACATGGCCAGCATAATTAGTGATTCTATCGCAATATGATTTAATTTGAATATTGATGCAGTTATTCTGATGTTATTTTGAAATAGTGAAATAGAATAGAATAGAATATCAATCAACATGGAATAGAATATCAATCAACAAAATACGTTGCTTTATATTGGTGCAGCTTCTTTGAATTTGCTGAATTGCAATAAGCAGTACCACGGCAAACCCACCTGTGCTGCTGTACATGTGGCACAACATCTTGTCCTGTGCCTGTGCTCAGACGAGGTGCTTGTGTCACTTCCCCGTGCCAGACCAGGAGAGGTACCACTGGAAACGTGTCATTAACTGGACTGCAAGTGTTGTGGTTTGCATTTCTTCTTAATCTGAAATCATTCTTCTAGTGATAAAATTGATCTTGAAACAGTGACAAAATCAGTAGTTTATCAAGTCTAATCTCTAGTCATCTTTCTCTTTACTGAGTGTTAACTGGAGACCTCCCACGTTCACTGTGTGGGAGGTGTCTGGCTAGACTCCTGAGCAGGAATAAAATTGCAATTAAAAGTAACAGTTCAGAAAAGAGGTAGTATTTCCATAAAGGAACTAATATTTTTCTTGTTGTATTTGTTACTTGCCCTTCTGACTCTGACTGTCTGTCTAATTTTGTGGTTACTTGTAAGGCATAGTGATTGCACAGTTGAAAAGTGGAGTTTGCAAGCCTTAACACTATTTAGGGTTTGAGACTTCAGGATTCTTAATCTGGAATGATATCTGATGAATAAAAGTAAAAGCCAAGCATAACTTTGCAATGTATGCAGGCGTAATAGCAATTCCCATTTTCAGGGTACTATAGAAAGGCAGCCTGGAGAGCTCTGCCATCAAAATGGGTATTTGTGTGACTGGAGCTGATTTTTGCCCAATATAAATGGTGTCTCAAATAGTTATTTTGTTACTAGTTGATGACTTCCTCAGATTTGCTTGTGTTGCACGTTATTCAGATACTGAAGCTTGTTGTGTTGTGGCTGTCAGTACTGGAGCACGTTTGAATGTCAGGTCAGGATTTCTTTTCAATAATGAAATTTAAATACTAACTCATCTAATGTTGAGACTGAATTCCTCTTGAGATTGTTTCGATGGAGTGTTCTCACATCTCTTCAGCAAAATGGCAGTGACCTAACTCAATTATGTGCATTTGGGTGATCCTTTTGTGCTCGTTAAAGAAATGAGACAAGACGTTGATAGCATGATGATGTGGGGAAGTGTCACTTTTTTCTTTTACTAACGTGCTAAAATATATTTACTGCTCTACAGATGGCAAAGCATTTCAGTCCTGTTACAGAGACAAATGGTAATTAGGAAACCCAAGAAAGGAATAATTTGGATAGTGTTTTGTGTCAGTAATAAGTATCCCAGCAAGCTAAACAGCCTTCAAGTACAGACAAAGGCAAGAGCCTGAATAGCAGATCAGCCTTAAAAGGATTGTGGAGTTAGGTGGGGTGGTTGATTAGAGGTAGTGGCAGGGGCATGTAGCTCGTGTGAAGTGGTAGGAGCCAGCACACAGAACTGAGCAGCAGCTGCTGGCTGGCTGGCTCGGTGTAATGATGTCTTGCAGCTGGGAACAACTGGCATTTAAAAGCACTGTGTGGTGTGGTAGGTGATGTACCACTTCCTGTTGCTTTTGCTACCCCTGTGGCTTTCTCACTCGGTGGCACTTTGTTTTCCCAGGAAGGCTGACTGGGAGCTGGAGTGAGTTTTATGTAACCTGTGTGTTGCATCCTGCTAGAATTGGGTTGATCTGTCCAAGCCTATCAGGCTGCCTTACAGAGTCAGCCCTGAGGTGTTCTTGCCTTTTCCCCAGAATGCTTTCTGAGTGTTGAATTTACTAAATTATCTTCACACTGTTTATTTAAATCTGTTTATTATTCTATTACTGAAAATAAAAAAAAAAAAAGTAAATAAAAGCAGCTTAATGGGGAAGCTCAAAGAACCCATTGCAGATCAGCTCCATATTTTGTCTTATTGAATATCTTGACCAATAGCAGTATTTTTCATGACTTTTTGCATGGTGTTGCTTTTGTTTGGTTCCCCTGCTGAGAGACACCAAAGGTAACTGGTGCCTCTCAGTGTTTATCTCTTTCATGGAAGAACCTGAACCTCTTATGATTTTGAAGAGTTGTATTTTTGCACAGTATGTCCTTGGCATGGTCCTGAAACATTCTCAATGGCATGCTGAAGATTAGGCATACTTTCCTAATTATATTTAGGAGCTCTCAGAATATTAATGGACACTGTAATAGAGAGTTTTGAATTATCTCAGTGATGTTTTTTATAAATAACATTTATTCTAGTTTATTTAGAAATTATTATAAATATTAGCAGTGAAAATTATAATTTGTTTTGTTTTGCCATGTTGCTTCCTAGCTTGCATCAAACAGATATATAAAAAAAAAATTAAATATTTCACAGAATAAACTTTTCTAAATAGTGCAAGATAACAATTGTCCATATATGTTGTTGAGTTCTGACAAATCATCACAGTATTATGCATGTAGTCCAAATTTTGATTAAACACATACATGGAAGACAGTGAATTATTTAAATATTATTAAAGTCAATGAAGAATTCAGGAAGCAGAAGTGTGTTATACATAGCACTAAAAATGTTGTGCTGGAGTTTAATATCTCTGTTAATATGGAGCATTAACTTAACATACACTGACAGTGTCAGCACCTTTAATTATTACTCTTGTTGTGCCTCTCCATTACAGCCAAATAAAAAGGAAACAAAAAGGCTTAAAAGTTGCAAGAAAAGTACACTTTAACCAGTACAAGTAGTTTAAAAGCCCACAACAGAAACTTTCTGTGGCATGTATTGTCTTGTATGTAAGGCTAAGACCTAGGCATTCATATGCAGTAATTATCTGTCCAGTGTGATGATGCTGTGACCAATATTGACGTTTCAGTGATCTGACCCAGGCAGTGAGCTGGCTGCAATCCCCAGGGAATGCCCAGTAAATCTGTCTCCTTGTTTTCAGCACCCTCGTCCCATGTACATGCCTGGCATCTGGAAATGCCTTAAACTAATAGTCTAAAGTCACCTAAAGGGAATAGTAATTAAAAGAGGTCTCCCACATCAGTGAGCTCTGAAGGGACAGAGACACAATGCTCTGTACCCATAAAGGAGAAATGTTTGGAGAGTCTGAAGGAGAAAATGTTAAAGAATGTGATTGAGAAGGACAAGCATTCAGAAGTTGGTAAATTACAATACTTTTTGTTTCTGGTGCTTTAGACAATAAAAATGATTGTAAACCGATATTAAAAATTATTTTCTTCTTTGTATCTTAATATTGTGTGCCATTAGGATGTTTTACGGTCTGATGGCTTTTATAAGAAAGTAGGTCATCAGCCAGACGTTGGCCTTATGTCATATATTCTTGCATTTGCAGGTGCAGCGAAAGTGGAAAGAAAAGGAAAACTGGAAGAGAAAAGTTCTTCAGCATATGGTACGTAGAGAGCAATATTATTTTTAGGAAAAAAAAAAAAAGGAACAATTCTCTTAACATTTGATGTCTCTGAAGAGCAAATGTAAAAGCATAAAATATTTCCAGGGCCCAGCTACACCACTTTTGTTCTTTTAGGCCTTAAAAACAGTTTTTACATACATGACAGGTTTACAACAGAAGAATAATTTTATAAGATAAATTGAAAGTGCCCATAGCAAGGATTTTGAAGGATCCAAAAGTACTTATGAGAGGCCTCTGAATTTTCATTTGGTTGGGGTTTTTTCTAGTGGAATGAATGATACTGGTTATTTCATTGTACTGACTGGTTTGAGTTGGGAGGAGCAAAGAAGTGTTACTAGCAAAATATTTGTCAATTTGTGAAATAAAATATAAGAGCACTTCAGCTTTTTCCTGTGTTTAAAATAAAATAAATTATTAGAGACAGGCAAGAATTCCTAAGTGATTCTTCCTTGTTTTTCCTGGAGGTAAAAGTTTTGTTTCTGTATTCTCCAAGAAGATAATAAGACTCCAGTTTGTGTGTGGGCAATAATCGTTAAATACTGACTTTAGGGCTTATTTTTGGTAGCAAGGTAATGTCATTATTGTCTCATTCCTGATTATTTAAGAAATGGTTGTGGAGTAGGAATGTTGTAGGGTGTATTTTGTCTGGGGAGAATTAACAGAGTAAGTGGAATTTGTCAGAGTCAAAATACTTGTCCTCATGTACACCAACGGTGGTTACAAGTGAACTGCAGCATAAAAAATGTGCCAAATTCAAGACAGAATCAGTTTTCTGTGAGGATATGGCTGTAGAGTGCAAAGTGCTGACAGTATCAGCAGATCTGGTATACTGAAATTTCCTTCAAATGCCTTCATATAGGCCTAATATGTGTTTTTAGGGCAACGTTATCCTTATAATTGGGAATTCTGTGCTTCTGAAAGCTTTTTCTCTTGTCCAAATCTTTTTGTTATAAACTGTAAGTAAAAAGGATGTTATAAGCCATTTAAATGATATTACGTATTTTGTGTGCTTTGCTGTACCTTTTTCTGCTATGATACCTCATTTGGAAATACTAAAAATGGTAAAATATTATTTGTTCAATGAGATTCCTTTGAACCATTTTACCAGCAGCTAATGAGAGATGTGCCCAAGATAGCGAGTAAATTAACTGCATCACTTCGATCTGACTAGACAACTAGAACACTTGATTTTCAATGTGTCTTTTTAGGTTGAGCTGAATACTACTGCTGTTTTAAATGGTTTAATTTTTGTTTCAGGTAAAAAGAAAGAAAAAGAAAAGGAGAAAAAAGAGAAAAAGGAAAAAGATCATAAACCAAAACAGAAAAAGAAGAAGAAAAAAAAGAAGAAATCTAAGCAGCATGGTAAGTTCAGTTTATATTTTTTTAAAATAATTAAAACCACTCAGTATATTTCTGGCTTTAGATTGTAAAACTTATTTCTAAACAATGTGAATGTCAAATTTTAGAAATTTCAAGGAATAACTTTTGGCCTTTAAATATGAAAAGGACACTTAGGTCTTTGACCTCTTTGTTTGTTTGTGTGTGGGTTTAGATAGTCACAGATATTTCATAGATCTTTTTTCTTCCTCCAAAAGATAGGCTTGCTCTTTTCATCTCTTTTAATTCTTCATTTGAAGCTCTATATACACGTCCTACCTATTTTGTTATTTTGCTTGGAAATTATTCTAGTATCTAGTCTGTTGCTAAATTTCAGTGGCTTACTGTAGACAATACAGCCCCTCCTTAACAGTTAATCCTTAACAGCTGAGGTTGGCGTCTCTGTTGTAACAGCCTTGTCTGTTGCCTTGACAAATGGGGATTATGTTGTGTGGATTATGTGTTTCTCTGTCCAAAATTTGTGCTATAACATGAAAATGCTTCCAAATCAAGCAGTGATGAGTGTGAATTGCAATACTGTAGGTTTCGTGTACTTCACCATATTTAGATTGGAGTAATACAGTTTTAAGCTATAAAAGGCTTTTTGCCTATTTTGCCTAAAAGTTATTGGGATTTTTTACTTGCACTGAGAAGACCTTTAAGTATTTGCAAGAAGATACTAATAAATGCTAGGTATGTGCCCAGTATTGTTCTTTGGTTTTGTCTTGTTGATACTGTAAGGTGGTCTACTGTGGGTTGTTTGTTTGGATTTTTTTTCATCTTTTTATACTTTTGGTCTTTCTGCCATCTTGTCTTGAAACTTAAAAACTTGGCAGAAGTACCATGACTAGGTTCTAACTGTCCAGTGTTCATAAATATGAGAAGAAAATATGCCCAGTGCTCCAACAAATAGAAATGTTAAACCCAGATGCAGAAAGCAGTGAGTAAAACTTGAACGTTCTTATTCTTAACAAATTCATCTTGTGAAAATCTGGTTTTAGCAATCCAGAGGTATTCTGTCTGGCTTTTTTTTTTTAACTGGGGAAAAAACTAAAATGCTTTGGCAGATTCTGTCTCGAGTGTCTGACCCTGAAAAAGCACATCAGTCAAAAGAAATAGGACTGTTTCTCCAGGACTACTGCACTGTACTCCAGGCATGGACAGACAAATAAGGGTGTGAGAGGTGCTCCTTTTGTTTGGAGTCAGATCGTGGGGAGGAACAGGGAATGGGCACAGTGCATGCCCCAGATAAGTTTTGCACAAACTGGTCTTTGTTCTCTGAATGTATGTGTGAAATGCTGATTGTGTAAAACGCATGCACAGCAGAAGGTGGGTAATACCTGTTATTTATACTGCTCTGTTACAGTGATGTTGCTAGCAGTGCTGTTGAAATGATCATCTCAGCTACTCATTGAGTTGATTTCTCTATAGTGATTATACCTGGGAAATGATGGAGACAGTGTGTTTTTGACAGGAGAAAGTAAAGAGGAACAGTGACTTCATGGAAGGTTATTTGGGGGAGAAGGATGTTGTGGAACCCATTGCAGGAAAGCTGTTACAGGTGGGAGCAGGAATGCTTCCTACAGAAGGGTGAAAGTGTGCAAATCTGATTACTCACTTATATTCAAAGTAGTAAGTTTTAAGAGAAGTAAATAGATAGGGACTCATATTTACCGGTTGAAGCCATGGACTTGCTCAAGTGGGTCCAGAGGAGGCCACGAAGATGATCAGAGTGCTGGATTACCTTCCCTATTAGGAAAGACTAAGAGGTTGTTTAGCCTAGAAATGAAAAGGCTCTGGAAACACCTTATAGTGGCCTAGTACTTAAAGGAGACCTACAGCAAGGAATGGGGGGGGATTCTTTATGAGGGACTGAAATGATAGGGCAAAAGGTAACAGTTTTAAACTGAAAGAGCATCGATTTAGATTAGATATTAGAAAGAAATGCTTTATTGTGAGAGTGGTGAGGCTCTAGAACAGGTTCCCCAGAGAAGTTGTGGATGCCACATCCCTGGAAGTGTTCAAGGATGGGCTGGGTGGAGCCCTGAGCAATCTCATCCACCCCAAGCTCCAGTTGCCCAGGACTATGTGCAGACAACTTTTCCATATCTCCAAGGAGGGAGGCTCATGACCTCTCCCAGAACAGATGAGACTCAGGGCATGGCCAGGCGAGTGTACAGATCACCAAACTGTTTATGCACAACTGGCCCTCTTTGTCCTTTTATTCCTCTATTTTCTCCGAATCACTTTGGTCCATCTGTTTTCCCCACCTTTGTTCTCTTTCCTAAATGTTCCATAGCGAGTCTTTTGCAATCCCAAAATTATTTTCCCCTGCGTCCTATAGTGTGCCTCTGGACTCCAACCACCCTTAGACCAGAAGGTGATCCAGAGAGTCATCTGGGTGACATATGATGGCTTTCACACATGGATAATGGAGGTGATGGTGCTGCTGGGAAAGCCCTGAGCTGGGTGTGCTGCTCATCTTCCTCCTCTGGACTTGTGTATACCCTCCTGGGATGCTCCTGGGCCTGTCCCAGGACGTGTTGACCCATTGATGACCAGGGGCTCCTAGTATGGGCCTGGGAGCATCCCAAGAGGGTTTTCTTTGGGCTCCCTGTGTCACTCACCCTGACAGGATCTGTGGTTGCCTCTAGGGAGCAATGTTGGTAGTGCTGCAAGCTGACCTAAGGCAAAAGGGAGGGCTACCAGCAGCATCTCTAGGGATAGCAGGTGGTACACCATGAATTGTGGGAAAAGGAGACTGTATAATGTTCCAGGAAAAATTATTCCTCTGTACACTCAGACATATTCAGAGATTGGGGGGAATTCAGTTGGTGATGCTTGTTTTAGCTATCAAACTTGATTGTGTTCCTCACTGGAATTCTTTTAATAAAATGTTACATAGAGGTTTTGCCATTTCGTATTTTCATCATCCTGATACCTCAGTGTTAATATCCTTTTACTTCTGAACATAATGTTGCGATATAATCTATGCAAAATATTTTTTTTTTTTTGCATTTGTCATAAACTTTACTTTTGTAAGAGCAACTTTTCTTTTAACTTTTCAGATTATTCAGATTATGAAGACAGTTCTGTTGAATTCTTGGACAGGTGCTCCTCTCCCTTAACCCGGTCCTCGGGCAGCTCCCTGACTTTGCGCAGCATGTTCTCCGAGAAGAACACAACCTACCAGTATCCAAGAGCTATTTTGTCTGTTGACCTTAGTGGAGAAAGTAGGTTGGCTGAACAGCAAATTTCAGTTTATAAATTTAATGCTTTAAGGAAGAGAATTAAAACAATAATAATTCAGTTTATGTTTGGATTGTAGCTGTAAATATGGCGACTGATTTAACCTTCATCTATTTAAATCAAAATACTCCTCAAGCTCTTCTACATTATACTTGCTTTGGGTAATTGTTGCTACTCTGCTCCTGAGAAGAGCACCTTAAAGGCATTTTGCAGAATTCATCATGAAATCTGATATACCAGCAGTGTGTTTGAGAGTGATTTTTTTTTCTAGGAAAGATTTTTAACTGCCAAAACACCCTGTATTTCTGTGAGTTATTGTGTCTCTCCACGCAAAATTTCACATGTATTTATTTTCATTAGACCTTTCAGATGTGGAGTTCTTGGATGATTCTTCTACAGAGAGTTTGTTACTTAGTGGTGATGAATACAATCAGGATTTTGATTCAACTAACTTTGAAGAGTCTCAGGATGAAGATGATGCCCTCAATGAAATCGTTAGGTGCATTTGTGAACTGGATGAAGAAAATGGCTTTATGATTCAGGTAAAGAAATTTGGTGTGTGGGGTTTCCATGGGAATGTTTTGCTCAGAAGGTGCCCTTTTGATGTGTTGGAGACTGAAGTTATGTAGAGAGCTGTAAATAAAGTGAACAATAACAAAATACCTTTTGTTCTGCACTTGGCTTGGCTCTGTTCTGTGTGTGCAGAACTGTTGGTCTAGGATGGAGTTTCTCTTGTAATTTGATATGTAGGAAAGATTTGTAAGGTAAGGCAACCTTTTTCTTTATAGGCAGCTGATAAATTTGGAATAAAGTATCCTTTCCCACACAGAAGCCATGGCTTCTGTCCCCACACCATCCCAGTTATACCAGCCCTGCTGCCTTGGCCCTTGTGCTTTACATTATCACTTGTAGAAACCTCTCTGCTCACTGTGAATGTCCCTCAGCTGTGACATTACTCCTGTGCAGAGACTAATTATTTGAGTGCTGTATGTGTGTGCTTTATCTTTAGAACAGCACTTCTCACACTAGATACCACTGCCAGGTTTTAGAAACTGCTGAGAATTTAAATCTTAACTTGATAGAGATAAGAAAGGTTGATGGATTGCAACTCCTGCTGCTTAATTATTTATACTTCAATAAGGGGAGCATTTCCCATCTACTAATGAGTAATTCAAGTCTTTTTCTCAAAGCATTTATAATGTAGTGATTAAATCAGATGCAAACAACACTAAGGAAGAACTTGGTTGTCAATAACTTTAAAAAAGCTGTGAACTTCCTATGGGGTTTTTTCCTCCCATTCAGAAAACAGGTTTGTATTCAACTGTGACTGTGGTGCAGCTCCTGTTGGAAGTGTGGAGCTTTTTTTAGTCAGGCTTTGAAGGGAACAGCTAGAGCTGTCCTGTGTTAGTGGACTTAGTCTTTTGGAAATGACAGAGCCCTGAAGAGGAAGGACACAGAGGCTGTCCCTGTTGGAGGAACTGAGCAGGAGTTTGGCTTATGGTAATGATGTGGACAAATGGGCTGGTGTAGAAATCTTTGGAGAGAGGAAAGGAAGTTGTAGCCATAGTGGTATGAGAGGAGGAAAGGTGACTCCGGTGTTTTGAATAGATTGATACTTAAAAGCAAGTCAAAGCAAAGAGCATAGATTTTTCAGTAGTAAACCAGCAGATACCTAAAACTGTGTCAAGCACAGAGTTGAAAAAGCAAAAAAAGTTTCTTGCCTGTTCCTGAAGTCCACTGACAGCCTGATTTTTTATCTCTTCATGCCTTGTCTCACTGAGAGCAACCAGTTTGCTGTTTCTAGGCCCTCATTTGCTCTCTTCTATTTTACTCTCCTAATCTCTTGTTTCTCCTCTTTCATTTTCTCTTCATTTTCTTTTTCTTTTAGATTTTCCATTGGTACGATATTAAAAGCACATCTTTCTAGCGCACTGGAGAGATGCTTTGTAAATATAAATTATTAAACTGAAGAGTTTTCTACTTTTCACTGTTATGCTGTAATGTATTACATTATCTTTCTACTTTACTGTAATATTATACTTCTGTCTTATGTTTCACTGCTAAATATGTAGGTGCTAAAATACTGAATGTTGTAATAAAATATTATTAAATATTACATCTTCAGTTTCTTTTTTTTTTTTTTTTTTTCCAGTCTGGAATTTGTGGTTGAGGTAACTTTCAGAACTAGAGCTGTTTTTTTATCTTGATGTCTTTGCCTACCCAAACACAAATTGCCCAACTAAAATAGTCATGCTCAAAACAGCTATTGAAGTTAAACTGCCATTCTTTGCATTTTGATGATACGAGAAATTGCTTCTGATCCTTTGAATCTGTTTATCTCAGTTTTAGTTTTTCCTTTTGGTTTCTTCTTTCCCTGATGTCAGTGTGAAGAATGCTTGTGTTGGCAGCACAGTGTATGCATGGGACTGTTGGAGGACAGCATTCCAGATCAGTACATCTGTTACATCTGCAGAGATCCACCAGGTATGGGTAAACCACCTTTATCTGCAGCTCTCTGAGTGGATTTTTGAGCAGAGATGTTATGCATTGCTTACGTTGTTAAAGCTTTGTCTGTTCTGTGTTACGTGTTTTGCTTCTTTGGGGTGAGTGATTCTAAGTTTGGCTCTCAGCAGAAACTTACTTTCTTGTTAGTAACATCTTGGTCAACTGTGCTAAATCTTATTCATATTGCTTTACTTGTTGAAACTTAATTCCCACAAACCCTTAGCATTTTTTTATGTCTATGTAGTCTGGGAACTTCCAAACAAATCACTCTTGTTCAGAGATCTGTTTTGCCAGTACTTGGAATCACATTTTTTCGTTTAAATGTTTTTTTTTTAGAGAAAAAGGACTGCAGTACACTCAAATATGCTGTGGAAGTAATTTCTTATTAATTACAATTTTATAATATTTGCGTTTGCCCAGAACTGTGCAAAGGTGTGGAACTGAATCTGTACAAGATGGCAAAAGCTATCAGTTCTTATGGTAAACAATAGTGCACAAACAGTTGAACTTGGTTCTGTTTTTAAGAACTAGGAAAATTATATTTACTTTTAAACTGAATACATTTGACTGGGAAGGTGCTGATTTAGAAACGATTCTGTGATAAACACATTTTTCTTAACACATATTTGGAGAAAAACTGTACAGTTTGGAAGAAAGTTTTTTGTATTTTTTTCTGACAGTTGATACAAATGCACATACCTGTCTTCTGGTGAAATATCCAGTACTACAGCCCTTTCAGAGGGGCGAGGAGACTTGAACCCCAAGCTTACTTTCATTATGAATTTCACAAGTGAGATCTGAAAACTGTTTGCAGAGTTTTTTATTAGCTATTTTTGTGAAGAAATATTAGGAAAATAGAGCTGGAAAGATGTGGCTTGTTCCATTTGCCCCAGTCTGAATCTAAACTGATTGTAGAGAGTCTTGTTTGATAGTTCTGTGTGGTGTCTCTCTGAGCAGTCAAGCTTTTTCTTACTAAGCCCAGCTAATTTGTCTTGTGTTCTTTCCCTGCACTGTGCTAGGTACTTCGTTTTCCCCTGCTATGCAGAGTCTGTGTCCCTAATTTTTACCTTCTCTCCCTTCCTAACCATTACTTCTTTTCTTTCTATGTCAGGAGAAAAAAGTCATTCTCAATGTCAGTATTTTAAAGTGTATTGGGATAATGGGCAAAAAGGAGATAGACAGGGTATTCTCCTGAAAGGTATGAAGGGCTTCCATCAACCCATTCTTTGTTCTGTATATGATAATAGTCTGATTTGAAATTGAGTGTAAGATATTTTGGTCAGTCCGTTTGGGTTCCTTGTTGTAAACAATAATGTTGCAATAATTAGCATTATGCATCTCTAGTTTGGGGATTTTTTGGGCTTTTTTTGGTGGGGTTTGTTTTGATTTTTTTTATTATTGGTTGAATTTGATTGGGTTTTTTGAATAGAATTGAGTTATTGCAGAAACATTAGCTAAGTACTCGTTCGTGCTGGTTGGGTTAAGGCTGTAGATGTTACCATGGCATGGGAGACCAAGGGCCCATACACAGCAATAGCCTGGTGTCTGCTGAAAGGCATCTCAGAGGAGGGTGTAAGAGCTCTGCTGTCAGATAAATCTGCTTTTGTGAAGCCTTCTCCTGGCTTCTAATAAATAGACACTAACTTGAGTATTGAAGCCAAACACTGGTCTTTTAGAAACAAGCTAGGTTTTTTTGGATATGTCCATATAAAATCCACTCTCTAACATTTCTCTTGGTAACTTAGGTAACTTGGTGACTTCCCTTGTTTTACTAAAAATTTAGATAAATAAAATGCCAATTTAAACTATTTTTTGGTAATTATTTTGATAATAGCACAGTTCTTAAAATCATATAGTTTGATTGCAAAGGTGATTAGATTTTAATTTCAAATGCCATTTAGAGAGGTCTTGAGGTTTCAGGCTTTTTTTTTGTTTTCATACATTTTAAGACTTTCCTCTTAATCCATAAAAACTAAATTTTAATATATTAATAGCAAGATCTTGAGTCATGCTTTCGTGGATGTTAGAAGATTTAGGAGAGTACAGCATATAATTGTATCACTTGAGTTGTAAATATAATTTTGCTGTGGCTTTAGATGGCCCTCAATTTGTCTATTGCTTACCCCAGGGCAGAGGTGGAGTGCCAAATATCTTTATGACAAAGACTGGCTAAACAATGGACACATGTGTGGATTATCATTTTTGAAAGAAAACTACTCTCATCTTAATGCCAAAAAGATCGTGTCAACACATCACCTACTGGCAGATGTTTATGGTGTCACTGAAATACTCCATGGGTTGCAGTTGAAGATCGGGATATTGAAGTAAGTATCAGTCCAAGGTTCATTTTCCAGCTGTAGATATTCAGGTAGCAGAACTATTGTTCCATATACATTTTTCTCTCACATTAAAATTCTGTCTTGTATAATAGTTTAAGTAATTTAAGTGCAAGATGTAGAATACTCTGAGCTTCAGTGGGAGGTAAGTGTTCAGTATCCAAGAAGATATGGTGTGTTGGGATTATTGGTGTGTTTTTTGGTTTTTTTTGATCAATTTTGTGTTCAAGGGACAGTCTAGATTTATCTTAAATTGATGAGTGACCCATGAATACTTAGTGTTTGATAATGATGCTTATCCATATCTGAGATCTAGCAGAATTGGATGCTTAATAGTTCAGTGCTGTAAGTGGTGCTCTCTGTAACTTGCATTTTTTTCCTCTCCTTTGTTTCAGAAATAAACACCACCCAGACCTTCATCTCTGGGCTTATTCAGGGATGCGAAAAGAACAAGAACAAAGAACTGTTGGGGTAGAGAAAAAATTAGTAACTTTACAGGATGCTGTTAATCCATCTGAAAGGACGTGTCATAGTCAAAACCATAAAGAGCCACCCAGTATACCCCTGAAGATGGAAGAAACATACATCACAAGTGAGCACAGTTACCAAAAACCACAGAGTTTTAGTCAAGACTACAAAGCAGTCACTGACCCCATGAGCTCAGATGATGAAGACACAAGTAGTTTTGAGGAAGATCAGGAATTTCACACAGAGAATAAAAACTGTTTACAATATTCTTTTAAAGATGGTGGCATGAGTGAGCAGGTAAGTATCCTTTGTGTGGGGAGTTTCTTAGTTGGGCCAGTTATGTTCAATCTGATCAAGCTGAAGCACATACAAGTGTTTAAAGGTGCAAGTCGATATGTTCTGTCAGATAAGTCAGCAGAAAGCATTAGAAGCAAAGTCGGATCATTGAAATAGTTTCAGGTGATTTATATTCATTTCAGCTGCTGTATGAAATGCAAAGTATGGTTGAAGTGTTGCCTGTACTAAAACTTTATTCTCAATCCAGTGTTTTGAGAGGGAGGAAAAAAACCCTTATGGTTAAAATGCAGGGTCTTGGAGCAGAACTTGAGTGGGTTTTGCAAGGTGAGGAAAATAGGATACATTTCCATTTTTCTATCAGTTCTGTTATCTGATGTGGAGGGGTTTTTTTGTTAAACTGAGATTTTTAGTAGTGTTTATTATTGTACTGTATTTTTTCTATAGCAACACTATCTGGAATGGCTGCCCACAAATAATAATTTACTGAGCAACTAATTTCACCTCATGTGCAACTTCTTTTCTGTCTTTTATATTGCATATTTCTTCTAATTAATTGTTTTACATATTTTTAGTCAGTATCATATTTTGCTATTTAAACATCTCTCATTTTTACATTATTGGTTTGAATCTATTATTTGGTGGAAAAGGTCTGAAACTTGTTAGTCTGGTTTTAATGAAGAGTTCTCTTTGAGCAAAAAGCAAAGTGAAACAAACCTTTCTGTTTTCTACAATACCAACTGTGTGAGAATAAATCACCCAACTCATCCCCCTTTTGAAGTACAGTTTCTGGTGTGGAAGAAATAAGTAAGATTCACCTTTTTTTTTCTTTGAATTTTAGTTTTAAATGTGGCATGTAAGCTGTAGGGGGAAATTCTTGGCTCATTTTAGTTAGAAATAACTGTTTGTATGCTAAATCACAGGACTATATTCAGTTTGTATAACCAGGAGAGGTGCAGCAGTGTCAAATACACTTTCCTTCCAACAGCAGCTTGTCACTGTAAATATTATGAATACATTTAGAATTAAGAGAAAATATATGTGAGTAGTGAAACAATGTTTTCTTCAGAGACTCAAGGGTGTATCTAAAAAACCAGGTGCTTTCTGTTTTAAACCAGGAAGAGATCTGCTTGGGGCAGTGTCAGTGTTCTTTCCTTTAGGACACCTTAATTCACCTTGTCACTAGCTTTGATACTAAAATAAGTCCTTCTGTCTAAATGTGATAGGCATGGAAAAGCTCTCCTTGATATCTCCATGAACCTGTTACCACTTGCCTCAAAAGTGGCATTGAAGGGCCATTTTTAGATGATGTGACTTCTCTGTGAGGTGCCTTCTTCACCTCTCCTTGTCAAAGTTTTAGTTGGGGCTTTGAATTCTCCTTTCTAGCATCCTGCAGAGCCTTGAATATTCTAGTTTTCCATGCTGTTTTTTATCTTAATCTGCAGTTCTGTTGCATACCTTTTTTTCTGTCATAAACAGTGTTTGGATTGAGTGTTATCAAGTCCCTTTTTGGACTTGGCATCATCTTTAGACTTGTATTTAGTTTCCTTGGTTTTTCCTTCTGAAAGAACAAGCCTTCCCTACCTAAACCTTCCGTTTATTTCTTCTTCACAAGCTGGATCCTGTACTCTGCTTCTTGTGCCATCACTCTCTGATGGCCTACATTGATCCCTGTTGGATTTTTTTGTTTCCCCAAGGAGCATTTATTAGCCATTTGAATAATAGAGAGGTCATTAGAAGGCAAAAAACGACTTTATGATGTTATTTAGATGTTATTTAGCTTTGAAATTTTTTCTGACTCACTGGAGTCATCTGAAAGATGATTTAGAATTATGGACTTGGGCCCTTATACAGCAAGGAAAAAATGTCATTCTTGAGAGGGTCTGAAAATTGTAAGGAATAGGGCATGTCCTATTTATGTTGGAAATACCTTCTATAAGATTAATAGCAGTTTGAATACTCAAAACACTGTGGAGGCAAACCTGATGTCTTAAGAGAGATTTTATCTGAAAGGTGTGAGAGTTCTGAGTTTTTTTTTTTTTTAAATCTATATTTAATACATAACTTTAACTCCTTTAATGAACGTTGTGAACATTAGCAACACTTGTCCCCCACAACTTGCTGATAAATCTGCCAGCATGTCAGTCTAAATTTGGGGGTTTTTTAATTGATTTTAAGCCTTAAAAAGAAAGTTGAGGGTTTCTTTGCTTAAGTAGTAACTTAAAATCCATCAGTACCTATTTTCTTTTTCTCCTTTCTTCTCACTCCTCACGTTCTTGACTGGAGGAAGAAATATTTTAGTAACAAGACTTAACACCATTCTTATGTGATGTGGAAAATTATCTGAGCTCTTCAGAGAAGTGTGTTAATACAATCAAATTCACTCCTTGCTCTGGCATTTGCCATGAACTGACACTGTGTGAGCACACGTATCCAGCATTCTAGTCCTTCAAATAGAATCTTCAATAGTGAAAGAACTTCACTGGATATGAAATCATAGTGAATATAAAGTGGAAACTCTTAATCCTGGTAATTAATGGAGATGCTGAACATTTTAACTCATTAAATCAGGTATACTTCCTTCCAGTAGCTGCAACATCAAATATAGAAAGATTAGGAGCTTTTGTGTTATCTCTGAGTTGCTGTGAAGATACTAATTACTTCAAAGAAGCCAGTCTTCCTCAGATACTGTGTTTGCATAACCCTGCATGTTACTGTAACTGTCCCCAGACACATTCAGTTCCGTCCCAGACTTGTGCTTGGAAGGTAGGTGGGACCATAGCAGGTAGGAGGAGAAGTGTTTTCTCTTAATCAGCAAACAGAACAGGTTGCCCAGAGAGGTTGTGGAGTCTCTTTCCCTACAGGAACTCTTGCAGAACCACCTGGACACAATCCTGTGCCATGTGCTCTGGGGTGACCCAGCTTGAGCAGGGAGGTTGGACCAGGTGACCCACTGTGATCCCTTCCAACCTGACCCATTCTGTGATTCTATGAACTGAAGTGACCAGTTTATTCGTGCCAGGTAATGACTGTCAACATCTTAGATACTACTGCATTTTAGGGAGTTTTCCTTCATGGAAACAGACTGTAGGATTTTGCACATTTTTGGTGACAGTAAGCCAGGCAGTTCAGCATTTCATGGTTTAAGCTGCTATTTATATAAGAAGGGCGCAGAAGTGCAGTCTGTCTCACTGCATTAAGCAAAGTGCTTGTGCTGATAAACCTTAGCATTAGGGACATGAGGCAGGAGGTGCGTATGCTCATTTGTATGGAATTTGCATTTTGTTTGGTTTAGTCTATTGATGTGTCATGCTACGTGGCTCTCTGAGGATGCTTTTTGTCATGTAGGCAGAAGTACAGTTCTAAGCCAGCCTAGTTTATCGTGTGACTCAAATGTTGAAGTCAGCACCAGAAATTAAAACAAAGGAGAAAACATCTTAAACGGCGATTTTTGTTTTTTCTTTCTGTTGCTCCTATGAAGAAGAATTCTGCTGAAGGAAACACTGTGTTTGTTTGTAATGAAAGAAAAGGCTCAGAAGAACAAGTGGACACACATCTTCAATGGCAGCTAAATCTCCTTACCCACATAGAGAATGTACAGAACGAAGTCACCAGCAGAATGGACCTGATTGAGAAAGAAGTTGATGGTAACTGCATTGCCAGATACTTGCTAATGCACCTGTAACATCTCTCATAGCCAATGTGTTCAAGGGGATCTGAGACACTGAGGATGGATTTTTAAGTATTGTGTTCACATTTGGGTCCCAGAACTATAAACAGAGCTTGTACCCTTGATCCCCTCACCCCCATCCATAAGTTTTTAGTGCCCAGTAAAGTAGCTTAAGCACTTTATAGTGTTCAGAACCCCTGAGCTCAAAGTTTGTGATATTTAAATGACTTCACAAAGATTAGGTAACTAGTCTTTGTCCAGACGTGGATCATGATGAAGTTTTCTATGTCCGTAGTGATTTTTGTGTGACTGTTCTACTAATTGACAATATTTAGGAAAAAAAAAAACAGATGTGTTTGTTCTGCCTTCAAGTTTGGTTTGGTATATGTTAGTAAACAGCTAGTTCCATTAAGACAATTCAGTCTTCATGAGAGAACTTGAATGAAATTACAGTGTAGAAGAATATTACAGCACTTAAGTTTCTATGACTTGCCAGTCATAGAAATTAGGAATGAGAGGAGCTTGTAGACTAACCAAAGGGGTCCTTAATTTTCTTTAAAGTTGTCTTTATTTGCAGTTTTACTTCCAATATTCCTGCTTTTACTCAGCAGTGTTTCTAAGCTAACAGGGTTGACCTTTTCCCTTCTCTGTTTCTACAAGCATAGAAATTCCTTGAAAACATTTGTTGAAGGTTGGACAAACCATTCTGTAATCTGGACCTTGACCACAGGAGCTTGTTACAGTGGCACAAGCAAGCCTTGCATTTAAGGGTTGCATTTTCTATTGCAGAACTGTTATAGAGAGAAGATTTTGAACTGAAGTTGCTTTTATTTGTGTAGATGGTAAATTGTGAGCCAGGAATATAAATTACTCCCAGGTACCTTTCTATAGTAACAATCAAATCAGAAGATACGTTTGGATTGTTAAGAAGAAACAGGGGATTAGTTGGTGTTTCCCTATCAAAAATTTTTTCAGTTAAGTAAAAATCACACTCTCGGTATGTTTTTTCCCTTCTTACGAAAGAGAGTAAGAAAGAAATGTTTAAATTTTTGGGGAACTGTTTGTTGAAGACTTAATTCTAATCGACTTCTTCCTTTTCCTTCTGTAGTTTTAGAAAGCTGGCTTGATTTCACTGGAGAACTGGAACCACCAGATCCTCTGGCAAGATTGCCTCAGCTCAAGCGTCGTATCAAACAGCTCTTAATTGACATGGGGAAAGTACAGCAAATAGCAACGCTTTGCTCTGTATGACGAAAGGAAGAATAAAGAAATAAAAATAGGTTCTTTACAGTGAATTTTCTTACTAGCCACAAGACTGACAGGAAGACAGCGAAAAGCTGAGCATTTATCTGGTTCTTTGCTGATTACGTTAATAGTCTGAAGCTTTAGAAAGAGGAGAGGAAGTTTAGAGTCAGGGATCTGTTATATTGAAAGTATGAATGTTCAATGTCCAGGCTTCAAAATGGTATATGATATACTGAGAAATGTCAATGTCTCAGGATTTCAACATGTTAAACAAGTAAATCCCCACATACAAGAAAGTTGAACGAAGAAGAACTCTACAAAGAGCAATGTTACTATTTTTAAACCTTTGGCAAACATTTCTAAATTAGCAGAATTCAGCTGACTAAAAATTCAATCCTCTTATCTTACTAGTGAAAGATAGACACAGAGAGATCTGTATTCTCTCTACAAGGAAAGTTTTTAGATTATTTTCTTCTCTCGTGCGTTTCAGGAAGATAAACATACTAGCTTTGATTTTTGAAAGAAATTACTTATCATGGTTTCCTTTTGAAAATATTTTTTTACATAGAAATCCCTAGAACAGCACCCCTAGGCTCCTTTAAAACATAAGTGGCAAATACTGGTCAGATGTGCCAAATAATATTAAAACCACTGGGATGAGAGTTTGATTATGACTTACGTGAAGGTTTTTTTCCAAAGTCCTACTCAGTGCCAGCAATCCATCCAAAATTGTACCTAGTTTATATTTTTTTATGTTCTACTGCAGTATTCAGGAGTCAAGGTACAGATTTTATCCTGGCTAGCTCTATTCTCGTATTGACCCTCTGAAAACTTCACCGTCCTCAGCTGGGATGAGGAATGACAAGAGCAACAAAACTGTCTGTGGCTGTGAAAGTTCTAAACCACTAGAGAAAAAAATATCACAAGTTACCTTATCCAAGATGTTTTTTGTTTTTTTTTTTTTTATAAAATCTTTCAGCTTCAGTGAACGAAACGTCATGAAACCAAAGGCAGCCTAATTGCTCTGTTAGCTCTTGCTGGATTTTGAGCCCAGGACCTTTCCTGTGGTTACAAGTTGCCGCTGTACCCAGTGCTACTTACACGTCTGTGTGTGTTACGTGTGTACAGACACACATGTACATCTATACATACTATAGACATTTCTATCTACACATGTCTAGTTTTATTACAATAGACTATAAGAACTGGTGGTTCATGTTACCTTTTAACAAGCAGTTTCTAAAATTGAAAATAATGTATGTACAGGTTTTGAAATTTGTAAAATATGACTGTTAAGAGGAGGCTATTTAACTGAGGACATTAAGATACTTGAACATTTTATGCCTCACGTCTGTTTATCAGTTCTAGTTATCTGTATAAATGCATTTTAGAACCGATAGACAGTAAACTTGAATTTACCTTTTGATAAGAGTACAAGCCACTGTACATTCAAAAATTATTTAAATTTGCAAACACACTGTTCTATATGTAAGGTACTGTATGTAAAACTGTTTATTAAAACTATTCTGCATACTCTACATTTTCCACTTTTCTTCCTGATCTACATCCAAGTGTAAAAAAGAAGTGATTGTTACTATGTACAGACCATAAAAAAATCTTGGAATGCCTTTTAAGGATACATACAATTGAAAAATGTGCCAAAGATGGATTATCTGGGAAAGACTTTGCAACCAGTGCATTGAACTTTCATGGTAAGACCATTATTGAGAAAGAAAGCAGCGTGACTGGTTCATTGCTAAAATAAACCTACCCTGACCTTTCCTGTTTGTCTGTCATATCTGAAGTGAGTTATCACTCCTGATGGCCAAAGCAAAATGTAAATCCCTGTTACAGAATGGTTGCTATTTAAAAAGTCTTCCCACATCAAGCTTGTAGGAGACATCACAGTGCTGCGTGGTAACATGGAAGTACAGAATGGTTGGCAACTCCATATTGCAGAAAGCACATGAGCTGAGGAGTTGTTGATGTTTCATAGCAACTGTTAATAAATAAAATACTCTGTGTTATATAGTCGATGCTTAAATAACTGCTTCAAACAATATGGATAGTTGAGTGACCTACTTGCTTTTGGATATGTGAGACTTTTTATATGCTATTCACTTGCTGCATATCCTTGTATGTGGTACTGTGTGTACTGTATAAGAGAAGTGTAAATCCAGATGAGTTACTTTGAAACAAAGTGGAGTGTATTTACAGAATTTATACAGCATACACTGTAGCAATATTATGCAATGTGTGTGCATGCATGTGATGTAATATAATTGTAAATGTTACTGAAGGTGGAGGTGGACTTAGAGATTTCAGTGGGGAGGACGAAGTTTTAGTGCAGAGACGGAGGAATAGTATCCTGAAAAGGAAATACTAAGGTCAGAGTTGAAGTTGCCCTTGCAGCTTTAATGTGTCTTGTGTTTGTATGTGTAATGGCCTCTTAATTTACATGAATATGTAATCTTATCCCTCAAGATCTTGCCTTGTTCAGGATGGACTGTGCTTACAAAAACAATCCGTTCAGTATTTTTTTAATCTTCATTGTGTAGTCACGTATTGTAAAAATTTCTGCAAGCATTCATATCTTCTAGGAAATACAATCTCAGTGTCCATATGGACCATGCTATGATACATTGTGTACTGCTCCAATGCTTCACAGACTTGTCTCAGTTTGCTTTCTCAAGTTGTGGTGCTGGTCTGTAACATGTGAACTTTAGTTTTTGGCCCCCGTTTCTCAAGTGTTCAGAGGTTTGGGATGCTTTTGAGGTTTTTTTCTTTCAAACACTCACAAGTCAAGTGCCATAAAAATGCTAAGTGTTTTGCACAGAATGTAACCTGTAGTTGATTGCTTTGCTTGTGTGCCGGTCAACCCTGATGTGACCTGGCCCTTACCAGTATTTCTTCCAAGTTGGCCTTATCAAGAGAATCTTTTTCCTGTAGGCATCATTTTCCATCTGTCTTCCTGCTTCCTCCTAAATAAGCCAGGGATCTACGTGCAGTCTTATTGTGGCTTTTTTTTTCGAGGTGAGTTGCAATTGTGCTGTTTGATGGAGAGAGCAGACCCTCTCTGTGGCAAAAATAGTATATGGCAATGTAAGGACTGTTTGATTACGTGCACAGAGAGGTAAAATGTCTAAATTTGCAGCCCTCTTTGAGTAGGAGTTCTAAACAGTAATATACAAAAGGGAAAGGCCATTGTACAAAAGCCTCTTGTGATTTCACAGGGCTAAATTGCAAACTTTTGGAGCCTTTGAATGCCCACCTTTTTGTCTGAGGATTGGTATTTTTAGGGTTTGTTTTGTTTTGTTTTGTTTTTTTCTTTAATGGAGTTAACAAAGTGATTTGTTTCAAAACTTTCTCCTACCTGTGACCAAACTGTAGGCATCTGCATCAGGAATTGAGTGTTTTAGTTGCAGTGCTGGCAGTAGGACAGCACTATTGCAGTAATTATTGAAACATTGTCTTGGTGGTGTGATCTGGGACAACGTGATGGGGCTGCCACATTCTGGTTACAAAATTGAGGTACTTCAGGTCATAGGGCGGGGAATGGGTTGGAAGATGCTTCTGGCTAACCCTTTTCTTGGGTAGTTGTATGTTGAGTAGTGCCTGTATTTTGGATATTCTGGGCTAAAGTGTACAGATCTTTGTTGAGCTGTGGAGTGAATTACAGTAGCAGAAGCCTGCCATCCTCTTTCAAAGAGATGAAGATGGGTTGGAATTTTCTGATAGATTTCCCATATTTGCTGGGTGGCAGACTGAGAGAATTGAGACTGTTCTTCCATGGGTGGAGTCCTCTAGCACAGCTGACATCCACCTACCTCTCTTAATTTTGTCTTTGAGCTTCTGCATGTGCTCCTCATCTGCTTGTTCTGCAGTTGCATCTGTTCCTCCCATTCTTCAGCTTTCTGCTTTTGACTTCTTCTGTGGTGCCTGGAGGGCTTCATTCCTCTGGTCTCATGCCCAGTTCTTCTGCCTGCTGTGGGAAGCAGCCATGGGGAGAGGTCTCCTCTGCTGTTCTCAGCCTCCAGTGTATCCTAGGACTTGTGTGTACCATGATCAAAATCTCCATCTGTTTCTGCTGCCTTCGTTAAATAAGCCTCTTTTGTCTTCTGCAAGTGCTGATCTCCCTCTACTCCCATCTGGCTTCTAACTAGACTTGAATTAATGTTACAGCAAAACCCCTCTGGCACTGTTGGGCCCCAGCACTCCTTACTAAGCTGAGGGTTGGGATGTAAAGGAGTCGTTCAAACATTACAGTAAAATTATAGAATTTTGATGTTTGCAGCCCACAGCATTTTTCCTTTGTATTTGAAGGGAAACTGCAACCATTTTTCTTCACTGGAACTTTAAAAGGTGCAAAACAGGTCCTGAACTGAACTGGAGCTTGATGTAAAAATCAGCAAGTAGAGGGTGGGAAGGACTCTACAGGCAGGGGTTTCATAACCAGAAGAGCAGTCAGGCCTTGCCCTGATGGTGGCTCTGTGGAGGTGCTGATGTGTAAGTGGGGGGCTGTGCAATGATACCATTCCATTGCAAACAGGATGGTTTAGAACACTGGAACTGTAGGTTTTCTCTCTGCTGCTTTAAAATGTTGCGGTCTGTGAACCTTAATTTTAGAGTGCTTATTAAAGTCAGAGGCCTAATGACTATTGAAATACCCATTGCTATTCTCACATTTTATTAGCTGACCATTTTTTTTTCTGTTGTACTGATTCCATGTGGTTTTAGGTGAGCATTTTTCAGAGGCCATTTGAAACACTTCATTGATGGTTTCTGTTATACTCTGTTATGTCCTGGGCAGTGGGTGTGGGGGGGGTGTCTGTATTTAGCAATAAATATTATACACTATGTGTATATCTGTTTATATAAGGAAAACAAATACAGAGCATGTAACGATGGTGAAAATACACTGCACAGAGTGCAGATTGTGCATTTGGCAGCCACTCTGCACTAGCCTGAACGACTCATGAAAAATTGGAGACCACGTGGAGAAAATGAACTGGCGTGAAAAAAAAATCATTCAGGCCCGAATTTCTCTTTCCATACACACTGGGCCTGCGTGTAAGCAGTGGATGAGCCAGCCCTACTCTGTGGGTTGGATAACTAAAGCCGGTTCAGTTGCTGTTTGCTTCAAACAGCAGCCTTCTTTCCTTTAAACTGGCCAGAGCCTCCTCTGTTCAGCTGTAGCTCGTGCATCAGTGTATTGTCACTAAACACTCTGAGAGAGGCAGCACTGCACTATGATTAAATCTTCTATGAGAGAAGCAAAATACTTCTGTGATTTGTTTTTTTATAATAGCAATAATGTTGACTGCATTCTAATACTCACAATAAAGGTCTGTTGAGATTGTTATGTGCCTGGGCTCCCATTCCATGGACTTTTCTTTTGGTGAGCTAGTGAGTGTTTGAGCATGTTTTAAAGCATTCAGGAATCTTCGGTTGCATGTTTAGCCTGTAATCCATAAGTTAGGTGCAGTCATTGATACTCATTTCTCTACGTTGCAAAGCTTTAATTGTATTTTAGCCTGTAGGCAAATTACACACTCAATAAATTATTTTTACAGCATTGAATTAATTATTGTGTGGCAAAGTAATTGGAAGATTTTTCTGTTCCTGAAGTGCTTTGGAGTTTAACAACTTCAAGGTTTGAGTTTTGCAATGCACTGGCTTCTTAAAAGACAGTGTCTTTTTCAGCATGTTTACAGTGATGGCATCTCTTTTTGAGGGCAGATATCTGCCTTCTAAGGGTATTTTGTGCCATTGTACAATGCCATTACAAAGTAACTTCAATTTGCTTCTAATGATTTATTTTAATGTTGCCCACAAACTGTTCAGGACTCTGCTGTGGAAGAAAATAAATAAGCCAACAATGCTGAGAAGGTTCTTCCCTTAGACATCCTGTGGACCAGGGCACAAATGACGAGCAGCAGATGAATGAAACTGGACAGAATCTCATTGAGCTACTGACACAGAAAAACTGTTCTGTTGTTCACAGAAAAAATAGATATGATCATAAATGTAGCAAACTTCAGAATTTTAATTCTGAAACATTTTAATCACGGTTTAAGGGACAGTGTTGAAACAGTCTCTCAAATTTAAGGTCCGAGTCCAAATTCAGATCTTGGAGCAATACACCAAAACACTTTTTTTAATTAGCAGCCTTTAAAGATGAGGTTTCCTGAGTCAGGCCAACCATCTGGCCAGCCCAGTGTCTTATGTGTGGTAGAAACTGAATGTCAGATTTGTACAAATTGGCCTTTCCCTAAATATATTTTTCATTTCTGGTAAACTGAGGTTTCCCTTACCAATATTTTTATGAAGTCCATCAGTTTTATCACTCCGTGACAGGCATGTGCTCCTTGAGTTTAATCCCTCTTTTTTCATTGGTGGCTTACTGAATTCACACCTTTGTTGTGGCAGGGGTTGTGTTTGTCCTTGAACTTCCTCTCTGACTCCACTGGCTCTACACCATTGCCCTCAGTTCAGAGAAGGTCATTATTGCATTATTGAAAAGACCTAAAGTAGTTTTGTCCCACCAGCACTCAGAGTTTGGCACCCTCTTGTTGCCTTTGTGTGACTGGTGGTGACTTTTCTCTCTGCATCAGCTTGTGTTTGTCAAACACTGAATTGATTCAAGGGGCAAATCCATTCTGTCACTGCAGGTTGCAGATCTGCCTCCTGCTTGTTGGGATTTCAAACCAACGTGCATCCCAGTTGTGAAAATAAATATTTTTCTACTTTGAATCACTGTGGTATTATATGATAGAGGAAAACTGTATTATCTTCAATGAATACAATTGTACCTGACCTAAAAATAGTTGATTTCTCCAGGGAAAAATGCAAATTCAGGTGTTCTTATGTGGGCTTCTTTAGGTTCTTCTGTCACCAAAGGCATTTTTCTCCTATGCTAAATTATAATTGAAAACAATTGACAAGTCCTGTACCCACTTCTCTGATCCAGCCAAGTTTAGCATGGAAGTTGTTGGAACTTCCCCATTGTTCCTTCAATTTGAAGAATGTCATGTATTAAGTGACTGAAAGGTATTATCTGAGGCTGTCATCCTGTCATCTTTTAATTTTGCATCACATGAGGACTTAATCAGAGATGATAGAGATGTGCTTCGCAAGGTCTTGAAAAGAAATGTACCGACTGTAACCTTAGTTCTCTTATCTGTAACTGTAATAAATGGTGTTAGTCTTGATTTTACATAGTTTTCCTAAAATGTGTGAGAGAACTATATAATACTGGTGCTTTATTTAACACAGAAAAACAGTTTATTATTTTAAAATAAATGAGCTGATTGATGTGGGCATGATTTCACAATGTTTTCAGTTCTTAAAATTTTTGCTTCCAATTTGCTGCCCCATTCAGGAAGCTGCCCCTAGTTTTCGTAAGCTAAGGTTGACTTCTCGGGCTCAAGTTTTATTTGGGTAAGAGTAACTTTTTTGTGTCTACAGATGTCTGTGTATTCATATACAGGAATCATTTATCCTTGGGGCTTTTTGACATGTAAAAACTGCAGTTGCACAAACCATCTCCTCTGCTAAGAAAGTGTGCGCAAAACTGAAACAACAAATAAATATCTGCTTCTGCCCTGAGGTTTGTGATTTCAGTGTCTCATCTTGCTGACCTTTGTCTTCCCACCAGCAGTTCTAGTTTGTAGTAAAGACTGAGTAGCTTTTGCCTCATTTCCAGCACTAGAGCAATGATTTTGAAGACATGATAGTTCTAAGGCTTAATGGTCACAGGGACATTTTTTTGCTTACTCCTTTTCTTGCCGTTCATTGTTGAGCTAATTTAAGATATTATTCCTTTTTTTCTTAGGTGCTAAAAATAGAGGTCAATTCCATTTTCCCTTCACTGAAGGTCATGCAAGGCTTTTCTTAGTTTTTATTTGTCCAGCCACAGACAAGTGCCTCTCTTTGTCCGATGAATGTGAATTGCACATATTGCTCTGTAAACAATTTTTTTTTTCCTTTTTAATCCATGGGCTGTTACATCCCCTTGAGCATTCATGTACCAAGATGCTCACCTTGGTCTGACGCACATCTAGAAGTGGTTTAAGGGAGGCAAATTGCCAAAATTCCTTTTCTTACTTTGTTTTTTAAGAGACTTCCGAGAGTTGGTGCTTCTTCCTAACTTGAGGAGCTCAGAGATTGTTTTCTGAGTCTGTGTATCTCACACACTCAGCACACTCTGGTTGTGTGTTCCATTGGCTTGGAGATGTTGTAGGGCCTGTAAACACAGCTCCTGCTGGCCCTGGAGAGCCAGTGGCGCTGGGCTGGGCTGTTTCTGGTTGCTTCCTTGTGCCTGCCCCACTGAATGGCGGACAGACATGAACCTGATGCTCTTGATGCACCCTTAAGTCAGAAATGTATATCGTGGTCAAACTCCTCTTCCTTCCTGCTTTAGCCACCCTAATGTTAATAATGGCTATTTAGTCAGATTGCTTTGCTCTGCATGTATTTTCCCTACAAATGCTAAACTAATCCAGAAATTCAGCTTCTGTCTGTGCCTGCTCAGCCAAGGCTGTTACCAGATTTGTTGTCTTTATGCCTCATTTTTTGGTCTGTCATCTGCACTGGCCACGTTCTTCATCTTTCCTCAGCTTAATTTTCCTTCAGACTATTGACTTTCCGCAAGTCAAGAGTAGGTTGCTTGAAAGTAAATTCCAGATACAGTCCCACTCGTTTTTAAAAGCCTAGTCATGCTAAAGCAACCTTGTGCTGCTGTTTGAGATCATATTTACCAGGTACATCAAATCCCATGACATGGCAGTGGTCTGCAGCCTACACAGAAGGATGCTTGGGTCACTGTTAGCACAGTGTTGCCCTGTGGGAGAGTATCAGTAGATAGGGTTATTTCCAGACTGTCTAGTACCCATGAATCACAAACAAGAGTGCTGCTCTCACTTTTTCTTGAAATCAACCCAAGTTTGGCTTCAGACACGTGCTGTTACTATTTACCTAATTATTTTGGGCTTATTTGTCCAACCACCTTTGTACAAGTGAGGGTCAGTTCTCATAATTCCTGGTGCAACTAAATGCTGACTCATAAGAGGTGGACAATTAAGAAGTGATACTCTGGAACCAAGGAAATAATATTTCTGACATGTTTTAGGTTGAGGATCTTGCATACAATTAGTATTAAAAAGCTTGGCTTAACAAACTTTTTGGTCATACTGATGCTACAGCTGGAGAACAGCCCAAGAAGCAAAGCTGCTTCTGTCAGATTCTTGGCTGTGTTAAAGTGCAAATGGGAGTAAAAGCAAAAGTCTGAAGTGGTTGACTGACCCTCAGCTCACTTCAGTCAGTGGAGCTACATCCATCTCGTTTTTCACTTCATAAATAACCACATTATGAGTTGTATTTACTCCTAATGCTGCAGCCCTTGGAGGCCTAACTCTCACCTGTCCCTCAGCAGGCTCGGCTCTCTGAGAACACAAAAAGGTGCACTTCTAATAGGGGGAACAGAGCCTGTTTGTGCCCTAGTGCAGGTGAGAACCAGAGCTCTCCCTGGGGTCGTGTCAATATCCTCAATTTGGTTGTTGATGTAACTGAGTCCCCCACCACCACCTGCTGTGCCTGCTGCCACTTGTTCTCCTCTCCAGTGCCTGGGCTCAGTCGTGCTCCCTGGAGTGGGGATGAGAACTGGCTGAGGAGAACCACGAGGGCAGTTCCAGGTGAACGGGCCTCTTGCAGTTTTCTCAGAAGCATCGTGTGCGTCACTCACCCAATTTTATGCCCAGTCTACCAGCACATAAGTGAACCCATCCATGTGATGGTTGCTATAAAAAGGCAGGTGAAGGCCACACGGGGTGCACAGGGTGCCTCCCTGACAGAAGGGATGGAGCTCTCCCATCGCAAGATGGGATCCATCCCATTTTGCGCCCTTCTTTGCTGCTTTACTAGCATAGTCACAGCCAATATATTTGGTAAGTACACCTGTTCTTTTCCTCTGCCTGTGCCCAGTGGTGACTGTGCTCCTGTGATCTTCGTGCTGCTCTGTGTATTTTTCTGATAGCATATATAATTACCTTGAATCTTGCACGCTGCAAACTGAGCTAGTTATTGTGTGCTGTGCAAACTGAGTCTGGGCTCCTGGTTAAATACTAAACTACAAGGATCTTAAACGGTCAGGCTTATCTGAGTTAGCACACCTGGGTTTGGGTGGAAAAAAAAGTTTTCTCAAGGAACAGACTGGGCTAGAGAAAGAGCTTGAGTAAGAAAAGGTGGTGCTACAGGGATGTGAAGGTCCTAAGATTACTTGTTCTGCTTGTATGTGCCATCATCTAATGTAGGCTTGAACCTGAAGGTACTGGGTAGTCTGAGTTTGATAGTCCTGCACAGCCAGCAGTTTGAATCACTGAATTAGTCTTTTAACTCAAATGTCTTGGTGTACCCTCTCCAGCGCAGGGATCTCCGCGTCCCAGAGCAACAACAGAGTCATGTTTGAGGTGAAAATGGTGAGGTTTGCCTACATGTTGTGGTCTATGTATGAGATAAGCTGAAATGGTACAGTCTCATGAAAAGTTTCACGTGGTCTTAAGGAGAAACAGCAAAAACTCACAGAGACAGCTGTGGCTGCAGAAGTTCCCTGACCTGCAAATTAAATATTTGAAGGTGAAAAGCATTAAGAATACTTATAACATACTTGCACTGCTGTGTGTGGTCACACCCAGAACAAATACCAGCTCAAGTGAAACTTTGGTCTAAATCACTGTACCTGTGGGTTTATTTACAGTATTTTTATAAACAATTGAATTAAGAGCATGACACTAGTCAGATTTTGAGGATGGGGAAAGTGTCAAATCAACTAATCTGTTATGTAAAACAGAACTTACTGAATTTCATCATTCTCCTAAAACAGCAGCAAATGCAGCTTTGAATGCATTAAGAACTGAGGAGTTGACTGCTTCTTTGCTAGGTGGCTTCAGTAGGTTGATCAGGCCCCCCAGTGAAAATTGAGAGTGCTCCTAATATGAATTAGTTTGACACTACTGCTGGACTGTAATTCTTCTTAGATCGTTCATGAGATTAAGAAGAAATACCTCTCCTTTTGGTGAAATAATGAGTGACTTAGCTTCAATAAAGAATAATTACTCAGAAACTTTAATAGTGATATGTGTGGTTATGGCAAAGGGCTCCTTTGTGGTCACAGGCACAACTAAATCTATGTGCCCCAAGTACCAGAAAATTATAGCCATGTTAGTACAGAACAGATCTGAGATCAACTAATCATAGGCCTGGGAAAGGAGTTCATGAGCATCTCCACTATGTGCTCATCCTGCAGCTGGCAGTCCAGCAAGTTTTTTCAGTACCTCCCTCTCACTGTCCCACACAGAAATGCACACAAGAAGCACTGGGGAAACAACCAGTGATGATCCATGAACCTTGGATTGTTACCATGCAGGGCTGGCACTAACAGAGTTTTGGTAAGAACAGGTTTGTGGTGAAATCACTCTTATGTGTTTATCTTCTTGCTGCTTTCAGAGTATCAGACGGATTCCCAGCCATTGCGTCCATGCGAACTTCAGAGGGAAAAGGCTTTTTCAGCAGGGGAAGCCTACGTTCCTCAGTGCTCAGAGGATGGCCAGTTCAGGTAATTCATCCCTGCTGTTAATCTGCTGTTATATGATCTGACCTTTCATTACTAATGGAAGTTTGAGCCTATTTTGAAGAGCCTCTGTATAGGTGGACTGGAGGATGAAGTGACTTCACTGAGCCATGTTGCAGATCCAGCCTCTCCTAAATGAATTCTCTGTTGGAAATAATCTCTAAGGCTAGTCTTGGCAGCATTATTTGCATGTTAAATACTTGGTGCAGGTTGCTATGTAATGCAGCTGCTGTCATCCTACATGTGCTCACAGCCGAATGTGTGTGCCAGCAGGCACAGCTCAGCCGAGTTGACTGAGAAGTTACCCACCCTGCTGTAAGTGGCACGGTTGGGTTTCCTTCTAAAGGCCGTCAAGGAACAAAAAAGCACATGAAGGACAGTGATTTAGAGAGCAGTGTGTTGCTTGAAGGTGCAAGAAGACAGTAAGTTAAAGCTGAGGCTGAGTACAGATTGTAATGTTCTCTAATATTATCTTGTTACCTCTGCGGGCAACCTTGGCCATTCTGCATTTGACTTAGAAACTGTCTCAAAATGTATGGTGAATCTCAGATAATGAGGATCAGGATTCTGTTTGCTTCCTTAATGACTTCAAGTCACACATCTGCAATTCCTGAAGAATTCATAGAATTACTAGATTTAGGAGCTCCCATTGAGTAGAGTCACCAGAAACACAGCCCTTGTCGATTCCCTTATTAATGTCATTAAAATACTTGAAGTTGTTTGGCTTGCTTTGTGGTTTTGTTTATGTCTGGTACTGACTGAGGACTCTGTCACTCACAAAATAAAAAATATTACTTCTGATCTCCTTAGGACAGTCCAGTGCAGTAGGAATGGTCTCTCCTGTTGGTGTGTGGATGAGAATGGGATTGAGGTACCTGGCAGCAAACAGGATGGATATCCCATATCTTGTAAGTCACAAGTGTCTATTTCTGTTCAGATTGGATAAAGAACTGTTTAAATCTGCATCTGAACTGCTGAAATAAAAGGTAAGTTAGCCCTAGACTTTGATGGACTCTAGTTTGTTATAATTTGCTGGGACTTTCTAGTGGAAGTTCTGGAGTTTCTTCAGGGCTAGTTATGGAATCCTGATAGACCTGGATGTCTGTATTTATGAGGGTCAGAGTAAGGTGAATCATGAATGAAAGATTAATTTATTGTAAGGGCTTTTGAACTGCAGAGCTTCAGTCCCATCTTGGTAGGTTTCTCCGTTCCAATTTTCATAACCTCAAGTTCATCAACGTTCTCACAACACCTGGGTGGCAGACTCAGAACTTGTAGTTCCAAAAAAACTCAGATTTTGTCTCAATAGATGATTCAGTGCCCAAAAGAACCTTCCTCTAACAGTGCTGCTCTCTGGTGCTTCAGGCTTGTCCTTTTGCCAGCTGCAAAAGCAGAGGATCTTGGTGAGTCGATACATCAACAGCAGCAGCATCTCCTACATCCCTCAGTGCCTGGATTCAGGGGCTTTTGATGAGGTGCAGTGTGACATGGAGCTGGGGCAGTGCTGGTGTGTAGATCCAGAAGGAATGGAGATTTATGGCACCAGGCAAAGAGGAAAGCCAGCACGGTGTAAGTAATATTCAACAAAATGGTGGGGTTTGTAGGTTTGAAAGGCTTGGTGTGAATGAAAGGTGGTAGATCAGGAACCTGGGCACTGCAGTCTGCACTCATCCTATAGAACTGTCAATAGTTAACTGAGCCACTTAAAACCCTGTTTCATAGAATATCTCAACTTGGAAGGGACTTATGAGATAATTGAGTCCAATTCCCTGCTCTTCATAAAAACAAGATGATGCACCTCAGTGTCCATGCTCAATGTAATGAATGTAAACCCCTTCCAAACAGTGGGGCTGCTATTCAGCTGTTCATGGGAAGTCAAAACACCCCAAAGCATTACCTTTTTTCCTGTCAGGTCCAGGGAACTGTGAGATCCGAGACCGCCGCATTCTACACGGGTTTGGGGAGAAGAGCCCACCACAGTGCTCAGCAGATGGAGAGTTTCTGCCTGTCCAGTGCAAGTTTGTCAACACAACAGACATGATGTTTTTTGATCTCGTTCATGGTTACAACAGGTAAGAGCCCAGGCCTCTGAGTCAGGAAAGCAATCCTGCATACCTCTTCAAGGCACTTGAAGTGGCACAGTGTTACTGGGGTTTTTGTTTGGGTTTTTTTTTTTCCCCACATGAAACCCTTCTTCTGTGACTGCACATGGTGTTATTTTCTGTTAATGAATGGACCCACTAGAAAGTCTTTCTCTTCAGAATTAAATTTGCTGATTTTTTTTTAAAAAATTGTATTCCATCCCTGCAGTCCAATCTGTGCGTCTTCAACAGCATTGGATGCCACGTTGCAATCCGTGTTTGGAAAAGTAGACAGGGCTACTTCTCAGACAGACAACAGCAAATGAGATAAATACAGAAGGAGCAGAGGAATTCAGATATAAATGTGAAGTAGGAAAGACAATTCCATGTGGGAGATGAAAAGAGATGGACAGACAGACAAGAGGCAAGATGCAAAGATGAAGTTCCATGTGATGATGGGAAACTCTTGTCTATTTAGGCAGTGCCAAGGTTACTCACACAGGAGGACCAAGCAAGTGATGAATTGCTCTGCTGGTGTATGACTGGCTTTAGGAGGTTGGAGGGAGTTGGGGAAGGCTCCAAAATGCTGGATCAAATCCTCGTCTGTGGGAACAAGAAGCTGTCCTGTGGAGGAGCTGGGAGTTAATATGGAGATGGAGCTGAAATTAACATTGAGATGGAGAAACAAGGGAACGGCAATGGGAACTGGAGGGGGAGGACTTTGTTTTGGCACAGATGTACAGACTCTCCAGAGAAATCTTTTGGTCTCTTGTGAGGTGCATCTCAGCACATTTTCCTGCTGGAGGCCAGTGGAGTAAATGTAATGTCTAGTTCTGACTTGGCTCTGTAGCAGCAAAGCAATTTTATTGTAAATGTCAATTTTGCTATTTTGAGGGTTTTCTTTTTTTTAATTTTATCAAACCTGAAGGATTGGCCCAAATGCACAGTGCAAATTTGTTAGAGCTTCAGGAGAGGTTATTTTGGCAAGAGCAAAATAATCTGGTTGTTTTGTTTGTTGGCCTGTGGTGTGTGGAAATTCTAAAAGAGCACTTACAGAGGAGAAATCAGTGCTTTAAATTGGCATATTTTTTCCTCCCATTGGGAGGTTTGTCTGTAAAGACCTGTGATTGGACTTATTCTGTGTCTGTGTCATGTAATTAATCACAGCAGGATCATTTTATTCCCAGCTGTACACCTTTCTAATTATGGCATTGACTTAACCTATTACCATCATATCTGAGTGTTTCAGGTCATAAATATATTTATTTTCCCACTACTCCTGCTTGAAATGTCATTATCTGTCCCTTGGGGGTCAGAATACAGAGCTGAAGGGATGAATTCCATAGCAAAGAGCTGTAGCAGAACAGGGAATTTAAACCCATATTTTATGTTCATGTGGAACCAGTGGAGCAACTCAAAGACAAGGTTAACAATCTCACATTTATTTACTTTCCTGTATTTTTGAGTGCAAGCATTCTTGTTGAAACACATGGATGCACTATAAATTTATGCATAATTTAAATGTGGTCACCTTTGTGTTAGCCATTGTTTTGGATGGCTCTGATAGATGAGGAACCCTGTGTTATTGCTACTCTGAGTTATTGCTACTCATCTTAAGGGCTGTGGTTAAAAAGAATCTGAGAAAAGAAAAAATGTGTTTTAGGAAATGAGTTTTCCACATAAGGTGAGAAAAGTTCTGCCCTCTTGTTTGTACAGGCCCAATTTAGATAATATCTGTTTGTGCTTTATTTACCTGTACTCTCAACTTGGAACAAAAATAACCAGAATGACAGGATATGACTATAAAACTGCCCCAGATAAAAGTAGCATAATTGTGACTTCTTAGCTTTGAGAATGAAAGGAAGCACCGTGCAGAGTTTTTTCACTGAGTCCTGTTTCACTCAGCTGGACATCGAGGTGCTGAGGTGATGAACTCCAAGGATATAAGCAATGCAGAAGATCATATTCCCAGCTTGGCAGTGGCCAGTGCCTGATAATCCAGGGGAGGTGAAAGGCCTTGAAATACCCCAAGCACGTTTATGTTATACGTGTACATTAAAAACCACAGAAATATAGTATTTAGGTGCTTATACCTTAAATTACATTGTTTTAATGCTGACAGAAGTCCCTCTGTTCCATGAAGTACGAAATTTTGATTGCTTTTAGCATGCCAGTGGCAGCAACAGAGCAGGATTTGACAATCCAATGTGGGGGGAGTCAGTAGATTTTAATTTGAAGACATGGAAGGGTGCCAGAGCACAGCAGCACTGCATAGGGTAGTGCAAGTTCTGAGATGGGAGCACAACTGGGTAACACCAGGACAACCCTGAGGTCACCAGCCCTTCCTCTGACAGAGGCTGCTGTTGCTTTGTGCATTTCCAAACCTGTGCTTTGATGTCCTGAAGAAGGAGGAAGCAGTAACATCTTCAGCTCTCCTCACAGGAGGTGACAGAGCTCTCAGGAATCTGTGAAGAGAGGCTGAGAGAAGAGAAGACTCCAGGAAGACCTTATAACACCTTCCAGTATCTAAAGGGGGCTACAAGAGTTGTGGAGAGGGACTTTCAACAAATGCATGTAGTGACAGGACAAGGGGGAATGGCTTTGAACTGAAAGAGGGTAGGTTTGGATTTAGATATTGGGAAGAAATTCTCTCCTGTGAGTGTGGCACTGGAACAGATTGCCCAGAGAAGTTGTGGATGCCCCATCTCTGGAAGTGTTCAAGGTCAGGCTGGATGAGACCCTGAGCAACCAGGCCTAATGGAAGGTGTGCCCATGGCACAGGGGTTGGAAATAGATAGTCTTTAAGTTTCCTTTTAACCCAAAACATTTTATTATTCAGGCAGAGTCCTGGAGGTGGCAAAGGCCCCCTGCTCTACTCTGCTCTGCTCACTTGGCTTTGAGCCAGACAAGTATTTCATTGTTGTCCTCAGGCTTCATGTGCTAGAGCATCCCTGAGGCTGCTGGAGGGTGGCCCTGGAATTGAACCTGGTCACAGTGCAGTTCCACAGGGTGGCTGTAAACTGCTTTTCCCCAGTTAATCAGGGCCCAATCTACTGCTGAGTGTCCTTCCTTGGTAAAAACTTAGTTTTTGTGATTCCCTAAATGTCTTGAGCAGAAAATTTCACTTCCCTGTTGCTAGCTTGTCCCAAATAAGCCCTATGCAGCTGGGGCACCACACCTTTATCGTATTTCAGGGTAAGGGGATGTGTCCGAAAAATAATATGATTGTTTTGGAACCTGGCACTTTGAAGCTAGAGAAACTTATCTTTTGCTTGGAGAAACCCTAGGATGTCGGTTAAGATCACATTTACTGTGTTTTTTCCAACTCTGACCCTACTGAATTTCCTTCTTAAATCATTGCTTTGCTGGAATCTGGCTGTTGTCACTCCTAGAATATTACAGTGGAAAATAGTATCTCTTTGATCTCCAGAAGTAAAAGGCAGCCTTAATTGTAGCATATTAAAAACCCTTCCTCCTTCCCCTTAATCTGTTGAGCCGTGCCCTGAAAATGAAACATATTAGTGAGGTTTCTATCAGCTCTTGTACTTAATTTAGTGCAGAAAGCACACGTAGCATGTAGGGAAAGGGAAACATGTTTGTTTAGGCCTTCTGCCATCCTGTGCAGATCTGTGGAAGGAGCTAATATATGGGTGCTGTAATAACATTAAGCTGACGCCCATCTATTTTGCACTCTTTGACAGGCTTTCAAAGTTGAGAGTCGAATTAAAAATGAGTGTTAGATGCTGGATAGCTGTTTAGGAAGGGTCAGAAATCTGTCTGAAGGGAGATTGTCCTGTATAACTTTAAAAAATGGCATTTAGGAGACTTGCTGTCCTGCTGGAACACCAATCTGGATCATGTCAGAGCCTGGTTGCCAAAAGGAGACTGAAGGGTTTTGTAGTGACCTGGTTGTACAAATTCAGGAAGGAAATAGATGATGCTTAGTTGTTTTTAATGGCCCTCCCTGGGCTCTTCACAGGAGGCTTTTTTTTGCTTCCAGGCTCCCGAGGGCTTTCCAGGCATTCAGCTCCTTGAGGGAGAAGTTCCCGGAGATCTCTGGGTACTGTCACTGTGTGGACAGCCTGGGGAGGGAGTTGGCAGACACTGGTAAGTGACTACCAGCATCTAATCCTTTAATTTGGGTGGTGTTGAATTCCCAAGGGAAAGGAAGAAAAACAAGTATCAATCTTCAGGTTCATTTGAAACTTCAATTTCATTCTTACGAGGGATAAGACCACTGTGACCTGTGTTGTGACCATGGGAAAGGCTGGAGCTCACTGATGAAATCCCCCCCTTTGGAGCACCACTTCAGTCAGTATCAAGTGGAGTTGTTTCCCGGGAGCTGACTCTGTCCTTTTTGGGATGGTGGAATAGGATTTCTGAATGTCCATCCTCTGTCCAACTAGAAAGCTGCCTCATATTCAATATATCCAAATACAGGGGAATATTAAGGGCCTGGAGAATGAACTCTTTCTTCTTACTCAGGTAGAACCATGGAAGGGTTTGGGTCGGAAGAGACCTTTAAAGAACATCTAATCCAACCCCCTTAACCATTAGAAAGGGCATCAGGTGGTTCTTCCGCTTCTCTCAGAGCCTCAGGATAACTTTTAGACATCTTAGTAGTTGATGGGACACTTCAGAAGAAAGAATGTTTTATTTTCAAGAAGGAGGAATTAGAAGGTTCAGAACTTCCTTAGATACTATAGGTGTTTTTGTTTTATTTTTTTTTAAGGGGGAAAAATGCAAAGCGCAATAGTTTAAAATTTAGATGAGAGACCAGAACTTTAACTTTTAATTCCCAGCAGGTATAGAAGTTCTCAAAAGATTTGTGCACTCAGGAAACCTACTGAACATCTTGGTTTTTAGTATGCAACCAAAACGACTGGGAATTGGTTTTGGTAACATCAGTTTCCGTAATTCCATCCTTGTCTTTGCTGCAGACTGAGCCTAACAAAACCACAGCAAACAGCCAGTTACAAGACGCTTCTCCTCCTTGTTTTAATAGATGTCAGGGCATACAGGTGGTGCCTGGGCACTCGGCACTGGGTACGTGGTGTGGTGCATTAAGGTTATACAGTATAACTTCACATCTGGCCTGTTTAGAGCACCGGATTTCTTTTTCTTTATAGTCTCCCAGTTCTGCTACTCTGGTGGTATAAACCAGGTGACTTCTTGTCTTAAAACCAGGCTCTGTGCTAAAAGTCTGTCTTTCCCAGGCTTGGAGCTGCTGCTTGATGAGGTTTACGACACAGTTTTCTCTGGGGCAGAGCCTGCCCGCAGGTTCTCAGAGACCAGCGTCTATCGGATCCTCCGGAGGCGGTTCCTGGCCGTGCAGCTGGCCACCTCTGGCAAGTTCAGGTGTAAGTAGCACCCAGGTGATGTAAAAAAAGGTGACAGTTTTAGAGCTTATATGTGACAGCTGCCATTGTGGAGAGTTGTCCCAGGATTTTCTTGCTCTAAAGGCTTATAACATCACAATTTCAGTGCAAGAAGCAAGGACTCTGAATTACAGCTGGCTTTTATCCTCTGCACTTACCTTCTTACCTTGAAAAGTAAGGTAAGACAGGTAAGAAGTAACTAAGCCGCTTACTCTGCACTTACATTCTTACCAGCTGATTGGAGATGTCCTCTGATCATTGCTCTCCTGTGCACTTGAAGTTCACATCAGTTGAACTGATGTGAACAGTTCATCCCATGAACCCTCTGTATCTCTTGCACTGAGATTATGGAGATGGATATGATGATTTATTAAATTAGAAGCCTGAGAAAATGCTCCCTAATTTATGCTGGTACACTCAGAAACAGGAAGGATCTTACACTGGCCACAACACACATTCCTTCCCAGGAGGCCACACAAGAGTTCGTAGTGCCTTAGCCAGCAAGGCTGAACTTTTGGATCTGCCCTTGGGCCCATTCCTTCCCTGGTCAGAGCAGGCACATGGGGAGAGTTTCTCTGCCTACAGGCAGTGAGCTCTGCGGGACAGGAGGTCAGGTACCTCCTCTTTACTGCATCAAAGCCCAAGAAAACTGCATTGGCCGAGGAAAGTTTGAAACCCCTGCATGATACTTCATCCTCCCAATAAAACTCCTCTGACATTGCTGTCTGACCCTCACTAAGGAGTTGCATCACCAGAAATACTAAGCAGATACTAATGTCAGTCTTCTGGCCACGTACTCAGACATTTTTCTGGTTTTGGGACAAGCTGATGATTCTGGGGAGTCTGGAAAGCATCTTCCTCCTCCCACTGCAGTCATTTTGGCTTAGCTCTGGCTGTAGCTGGGGCTGCAGCAGCTGTCAGAACAGATGAAGCTGTAACAGCCACAAGATGGAGATGTGACCCTGTTCATCAGCCACCGAGGGGGTGCTCTGGTGACTTACCCAGCTCTTACACACCACCTGAAGCCTCTTGCATTAGGAAAGTTGTCAGACTCCTTGATGAGCAGGTTGTTCTGATATGATGCTCTCACTGCCTCAGACTGGTAGCTGAGTGTAGCTGGAAAGCTCTTGAAGGTGAGAAATGTTTAGGCTGTAGAATTTCAGTATTATGTAAACAAGCAAAATTTCTGTTGGAAGATGAAAGTCCTGTGTTGGAGAGATCATACTGCAGAAAATTTGCTTTATGAATTTTTTGGTGCCTCTGCCATTAAGGCCTGTTTGGCAGTAATAGAGTCTTTATCTTTCCTGCAGAGGGAAATAAAGGGATGGGATGGTCCCAACCCAATTCTCGAGGGTCAGGTGCAGATTTGTTTTCAGGAGCAATGCCTCATTCTCTTCAGAAACAAAATCAGAACAAAATCAGTGCCCCAGGCTGTGCATGTGTCTCTGTTGACCAACTTTGCTTTTGCATTAAGGGCCAGAGCTGCCCCAGCCTCCAGCACAGCTCCCTGGGAGAGATGCTGCTGCTCTGCCTGCCTGCAACTGTGGCTGAAAAATGTGTTGAGGCTTTATCTTCTGATTAAGTTTTCAAAAATTTATACCTGCAGTAGAAAACCCCTGGGGCAAATTCCCCGGGGGGCAAAAGAGGATGGAGAAGTTGCATTTCTAGCCGGTACTTGGGATATCACTGAAAACAATCAAGAAATTGAACGTTTTTGTGTTTGTTGTTTTTTTTTTTTTTCCCCTCCCAAATAGGCAAACAATGGGATCATGCAGAGATGGCTCTGAAACTGTAAGCCATCCCTCCTTAGCACTCACTGGTTTCCTTGCAGGCCCCTCGAGGTGCGAGGCTGAGCGTTTCACTGCCCTGCGCTACCAGCACCCCTTCGTGCCGTCCTGCGCCGCCGACGGGGGCTACGAACCACTGCAGTGCCAGCAGGGGGGACAGTGCTGGTGTGTGGACACCAAGGGCCAAGAGGTCCCAGGCACAAAGAGGCGAGGACAACCCCCAGCCTGTGGTAGGTGTGAGTTGGGAAAAGGAGAAATGAGCCCATCTCTTGGCGTCCTTGGGAAGAAACCCAAAGGACCGACTCCTTTCTCGGCTCTGATGCGTTTGGTGTTCAAAAACTGAGATCCTGAAACCTCCCGGGGGTGAAGAGTCACATTCTAATAAACTGTTAAATATCATATTTCTTTTATTTTCCCTTCTCTTTAGCCTTTTATTTTTGCATTCAGCAAGGCTTTTCTTTGCAGCCCTGATATCTGTCTCTTGACTCCAGGAGCTGGGACCTCAAGTTAGAATATCTGGGATAAAATGAAGAAGCCAATGGTAGTGGTTTTGGGTTTTACCTCTTTCCCTTAGTGAAATGCTGTGGAATTTCTAAGTCACCTCCCACCCTGAGCATTTTTTTCCCCATCTCTGTCACTGCATATTTTGCCATGAAAACTGCCAAATCCAGTAAAAAATACACCCAACAAACAATTCAGAAAAGGTGTATGGGTTTGGGCTTCGAGAGATTCCACAGAGAATACACTGTCAAATCAGTGCCCCAAATGGAAATGACAGCAAAAATGTCCAAAGGCTGGAGGGGAGGAGGAAAGATAAAACCCTTCACTCTGAAGTGCACTACCTAAATATTCAGGATTGTGCTGGAGGTCTGGGGCACGGAGTCTTAATGCGAGGGCTGCCTTTGGGGAAAGTAAATTGCTCTGTCTGTGAGACACAGCCTTACCATGCAGCTAGAGAAGGAGGAATCTGCCCTGGGTGTCACAGATCCAAGTGCTCAGAGTGCTCTGGGCACAGACAGGCTTACTGTGAAATGAAAATGTTAGCCTGCCTCCGAGGCTGATCACCAAGGATATTGCAAGGGAACCTCTGAGGGGCCTCGCCATATGTTGGGACTGCTTGTTTTTCTCTTTGAATGTGCTTTGCTGAGCCCTCCTGATGATTTCTGTGGGAAGGAAGGGGAGGGGGGGACAATGACTTGAGGCTGCTTGCAGCTTTTTTTGGCAGACTCAGGAAATTTCAGCAGGGAAAAATTTCTGCAGAGGTTTCGCAGATTAACTCCTGAGAAGGTATTTCATGAGGATATAGCTGCAGTCTGTTTCAGACACCTACATGCCATGTGTGTGTCTCCAGTTCTGCTCTGATTTATTTCATATTCAAAGAGCATGTGGATGTGGAACTTAGAGACATGGTTTAGTTGTGGACCTGTGGGTTAGTGGTTGGTTTCAATAATCTTACAGGTCTTTTCCATCCTTAATAATTCTATGATTCTTTAGTGTCTTTGGCTCTCACACTCAGTACTGTGAACACTGGAGGAGCCAGAGCTGTAGGTGTGGGCAGCATGTGGGGTACTCACTTCACCCAGGGCACCAGGCAGTCCTGATAAGGAACATGCTGTTTTTTTAGACCTTTTACAGTAGATTCACCCCAGCAGTGTTTTTGTGTTTATTCTGTCTCCCTCTGCTTTGATTTGATTCAATAGTAGGTAGGAGGGGAGAGTGTTTATGAACCATAATCCCACATTTGTTTCACATTACTGTTCTTGTGGAACTGTGGCTTGCACTAACTTACTGGTCCTTGGAGAAATGTTCTCCATCCCTCTAACCACGAGCCAACACTGAAAACAGGAGGGGCCCATCCTACAGAAAATGTGTTTACAAAGAATCTGCTGGGAGGGACCCTGAGCCCCTGTCAGGAGCTGTGGAGCAGGACATGGTGCAAAAGGAGGAGTTAGAAAGATGTCAGTCCCAGAACATCAGATTACTTGCTTATCTATTTTATCAGCTCTTTACATTTCCGTCTTTTATGCTTACTGTTAACAGGGCTTATGACTGCTTTATCAAATTGTCTGGTCATGGAATCAATGGAGATGAAGTGGGGAGCCCAAGGGAGGCTGTACTGGAGCAGACTAAAGATGTCTTGTCCCCTACAGGGACAGCAGTGGTGCTCAGGGAGAAAGTGTGAGAAACATGGAAAATGCATATAGCTTCTATATATCCTTCTACAGGCAGGGGAGGCCCAAACTGGAGGCTGAGCCCAGATCACTGTGCTCAGCCCTCCTGTATGGAGTTATCTTCCAGGGATTTGCCTAAGTGCCCTTTAACCTTTTATCCTTCCTAGCACTCTCTGGCAATAAATTTAATGATCATAATTACATCCTCCACTTCTGGACTTCTCTGTACTGCAAGAAATACTGAATAGTAATTGTCTACTGTGAATGATGTGGAGAATCCTGTTTTTAAAAAACATTTATCATATTTTTTTTTGTCCGAGCTGAATGGTTTCTCCTAATGGAAAAGCTGTCCTGTCCTTAAAATATTTTTGCCTCCCTTCTCTATAGTTCTGCTACTTTTGCATCCCTTCTCTATAATTCTGCTACTTTTCAAGGAAAGGTGTGCACAGGTCAAGATGCTGCATGTGTTCCAGAGATTGGGTCAGTGCTATAACCATCCTGTTTGTCTTTATATTTACCAAGTCTTTCCTTTTTTGATGACTTTCTAGCCTTTAGCTTAGTCCTTCTTCAGTGATGTGTTGCATCCTAACTTGGAGCCGTTGCTGCCAGTGTATGAATCTACAGATGGGGCTGGATGTAGCTATACCTGTGACAGAGCTGAGCTCAGGATATGGGTCTCCAGGGCCACTGTTGGTACCCTCAATACCCTGATATTTGACTACTTTTGTTGAAATCCTGTATTTTTTTCCCTTAGAGCCTGTTTGTGAATGCGATGGTCCTTATCACTCTATTACTGCTTATTTTAACAATTTGTTTTCAAACCTCTTGTAATGAACACCTCACTATGAAACTGAAGATCTAGTTAGGAAACCTCCATAAATTCCTCCTTAGGGGGCACTGGGTCAAAAAAACTTTCTGTTCTTCTGCAGAAAGTTCCTCTTTCTTAGGTTCCCTTACTGCACCTGGATCATCAGAGGTTTCCATTAGCAGTAGGCATCCTAACAGGGGGTTACAGTATTTGGAAAAGACTTTGTTCTTTCAGCCACAGAAATGGGAATGAGGGTTTAAATTGGGAAGCAGTAGAACCCACAGAGCAGAGAACTTGGACGTGGGGAAGGAATGTTTCCTTTCATTTTGTATCTTGATTGGAGGATTTTATTTACATAGCATATGCAATAACAGTTCAAATTTCCATATCAATGTGCATGATGCATAGTTGAGAAACAGGTTAATGTACACGTCTGGGTTGTTTCTGCCCCAGCTGCTTGAAATAAAGTGGTAAGTGTGGGAGATTCCAAATTTTGCATATTTTTTTCTTAAATCTTTCTCTAGGTGAAGGACAAGGGTGCATCTCTGAGAGGCGACGGGCCTTGACGAGGCTCTTTTACGGCCCTGCTGGGTACTTCAGTCAGTCCAGTTTGTTCTCCACCCCAGATAAGCAGACGGAAAAAACAGCTGGCTTTTCAAGACCCTGCCCTCCTTCCTTCAAGGAGCTGTTTCTGGACTCTGGATTGTCATCCCCAGTTGCACAAAGCCCATTTGTCAGCCAGACTTCTGGATTAGAAACTACCCTTAGTGAAGCCATCACAGGGATGTTCCCATCGAGGGAGCTGGCTCGAGTGGCACTGCAATTTACTGCCAATCCAAAGCGTTTCCAAGAAAATCTCTTTGGAGGAAGGTTCTTGAAGAATTTGATCCAGTTTAACTTCACAGGGGCACTTGGCACTAGTGGGAAATACAGCATTGGCCAGTTTTTCCAACAGGAGGATGCGTCTGAGAGGAATAACAGCCAAAGCCCTCTGGAATCAGCAGAAGCATTTTCACTGGAGGTGTCAAAGGGGAGCTCCATTTTGAGTAAACCTCTTGTAGGCAGCTTTGGCCGCATAGTAACTCTACAGGACAATCAGAACATGGTGAAATTCCTTTCCTCTGTTCTGGAACTACCAGAGTTCTTTACTTTTCTTCAACAAGTGATTTCTGTTCCCAAAGACATTGCTGAAGATTTAGGTGAAGTGGTGAAACTAGCATTGGGATCAGGAGACTGTGGTGAGGAGCCAAGGGATCTGTTTGTTCCAACGTGCACCAAGGAGGGGAGGTATGAAGAAGTTCAGTGCTATGCAGGAGAGTGCTGGTGCTTGGACACTTCAGGTAAGGAAATTCCAGGCTCAAGACTTCAAGGCAAACGTCCAAGGTGTCCCACTGATTGTGAGAAGCAAAGGAGAAACCTGCAAAGCCTGAAGCAAAGTCTGCCTGCGGGATCAGACCTTTTTATTCCCTCTTGTACCGAGGATGGAGACTTTCTGCCACTCCAGTGTTATGGAACAAATTGCTTCTGTGTTGATTTGAATGGCAACACTGTTCCAGGAATAAAGGGAAAAGCTGGAAAGCCAATGCAGTGTAAGTCTTAGGGGCTGGGAATTTAAAGTTGCTTTCTTTTGTGTTGCAATTTCAAGATTCTTTCTTCATATCTGGTTATATCTGGTAATATATGGATGATGAATACAAATGATGCTGTCTCCTAACAGGAAAACAAGTCAGCTTTGCAGTGGCAAGGTAGTAGTGGGAAATACAGTGTTGTTCAAACAAAAGAGAGGGATTCAGTGGCTGATAGATTTATCTTAAGGGCCATGCAGTCAAGCCAGAGAAGTGAGTTGCAAATGACTGCTCAGACATCAATTTGACAACTCGCTTATAGACTGTGAATTGCCTCTTCTTGCCCTTCTATTAATGGAATACAGAGGAAGAAGGAAGCACATGGGCTGGGGATACTTGTCTTCTAAGTTTCTGTGAACTGAAAATCGCACATCAATAGGTATAACAGACCAAAAGAAGAGCCTGTTTCTCCTTTTGGGAGGAATAGCAGAGATTCCAGAGAATAGTATGTAGTGAGGGAGCTCCTTTGAATCACAGTTTGCAGAAGTAGTAGGGAGTTTATCACAATGATCTGAATTGGGATGAGATTTATATCTAGCAACCCATCTGTGCAACCAGAAATAAACAGGTTCAAAATTCTCTGGTGCTCAAAAGAAGATATCTCCTGTGGGTTGCTGGGTTTGTAGGGCTGCTTGGTGGCCAAATGAAATTTGGCTCTGGAGGTGGCAGAAAAGGCTTCCAAATCTAACTCACTTTGGTTTTCTGAGGGATGGTATTTTTATATTCAGCAGCAATGTTCAGTAGAG